ACTGATGGGCGTATTTTTTCCCGCCCAAAATAAATCAAATGTCCGTAGCTATAATATTATTATTGACTTCTGTTGGTGCTGCTCGTTGATATACCTACCCATGTACAAGTGTATTGTTCAACAATTGGTCATGCCAGATGTCCAAACACTCACAAAGACGCAACACAGATATCGATTATAATTACTATTAGGTAATAATTACCGTGAAATAACAATTGAAACAATTTCGACCGCTGTAGTTAAAATTTTGTAATTTTATTCTGAACAAATTTACATAAATAATAATAACCTAACCTACTCTTCGATTAAACGATTATTTATTTAAAAAAATATTATACTGTCGGACAGTAATAATTATCCTGTCCAAAGATGAAAAGTTTTTGCGGTGAAAATGTATTTAAGTAGAATTATACAGAGTACAGACGATTTTGGTTTAGAAAATATTTTATATTTCAATGGTAAAGTTGCCTAAGTTAATTATATGTATATATATATATATATATATATATATATATATATATGTATGTGTGTGTATCCTGCGATGATATTAATATTTCTGGAAGAGTAGGTACACACAATGCAGTCTTAATTAGAAATGAATATCAGGATGATTTTAATTTCTAATGAAAAGGATTTGAGGTAAAAACGTATGCTTCTCTTGTGTAGGATTTTCCAAAAGACTTTGTCATTATGTATTATATGTACGACCGCACGATCATATTTCAGGAGTTGTTTGTACTTAACCAAAAGGGCTTTCCGCTGTGTTGGAAATCAACAATCTTTTCAGCCGCGGGGTGCCACCCCGCCAGAGCAAACAAATGTTTTAATTAATTCTCATCAAGTAACATTTTACACACAGACAATATGCAAGTAGATTGACGCACTGTATTGTTTAACAGACATTATTGTTTATATAATTCGCTTTTCATCAACCATAAAACCGATAAAAATATCAAAAAAGCCATACATTATAACATATTATTACTATAACTACCTGTCGTATTATTAAATAATAATAAAAAAATGAGCCTACCTTTAAAATACAAATAGCTTTTTTTTTTATATATGGTATTATAAATTTAATTTGATTTAAATACAAAATGAGCTAGTTGGAGAAAAAAACTTCAAGTGGATAGAATTTTGTTCACTATATCAACAAAAATATATCTTAAACATATTTTCAAAATGTTTTATCAATATAATAATATATTCAAGATGTGTTGTAAATAATTCGTTTATAATTTATTAAATACACAACATACCTAATTATTAAATTTAATATTAAAGAAACATTCAGTTTTCTTACAAAGTATGATGTAAGAATATTATGTTGACAATATTCAAAGTACGATTTCAGTTATAGTGCATACTATTTTGAAGTGCTTAATTCTAGTCATTTTAAAGTAAAATATATTCTGTTCTATGGTACTGTCTTGGATTCTTAAAAAATAAATGATACCTACATAATACCAGTCATGGAGTTAAATCGACACCACCTCGACTGAACTTGTAAAGATGACTTTGAAGACTGAAACGTGTCTGGAACGACAGTTTCGAAACTAAAACAAATAAGAAATTACACGGCAAAGCTTAAAAAAATGTCGTTGCATAAAAAACGTACTATTTTTCAAACTTTCTATTCTACTGTAATATTTTGGTAGGTTTGGAGCATAATAGTTATTAAACCATTACTTGGATACTGTACACAAGTGTATTGATAAAATAGTGATAATATTCAATATAATATTCAAGATGGGGTGCGTAAAGCGTACCTAATGGCCCGTGTGTTTACTGGCCATTTGGGTGTTCATAGATGAGAGCCGTTTTTCATGTGTGTTTGTATGGATATATAGTGTCCAAATCATTTGGCACTGGTCTGAAGTGCGCGTTAAAGGCGGCGGGGGCGATAAAAAAAATTGCCATGCATTTCTCTATGATGACCTCGATGAAAAATATTATGCATGATGATATGCGGTGCGTCTATAAGCGAGGGGTCCTAACTTTATTTTAGTACTAGCCATAACACACACACACACACACACACCGGCGTAATGGCCGGTCGTTTTGTAGAATTTGATAAATTATTTCTAATGACTTCACATGGCCAAGGATATAGGCTCGCATTTACATGTAGTACAATGGAGAGAAAAAAGTGATATAGTTCCATAACATAATATGGAAGCGCGATAAAATAGATCAGTCCACAGTCAAAATATTCATATCCCATTACGTCCAGGCGACTGGGGAACGGTATCGATTTCACCACAAAGCACAACAGTAAATCATAAAAACATACAAAATCCGGCCTCCATACTTATTGATCATAAAATATATATTTTTTTTTCAAGAAAATAACACCCATGACACTATAGTATTGTGTTTAAAACTTCTTTATTTTGACCAAAAAAAAGTGTAAACATAATTTACACGTGTCAATCTAAGATCTAACTTAAAAGCTCATTACATAGTTTAACATTGGCTCTAAAATATATACTATGCATCTTTAAAAATCCGTAAAGAAACCCAACCAACAAGCCAATAGTCAAAGCAATGTATACAAAAACTGAAGAGCACAACCCGTGTTATAGTACAGGTACGCGTTAGGGGAAATAGGAATGAAAATCCTGTTGCCAGCGTTGTAGTAGGTAGGTATATAATATTATATTTGTGTATAATGTCTAATAAGAAACCTCCAATAGAAAAAATCCGTTTGCAGTAACAATCCAGACGCAACCATGTAGGAAAATTCGTTAGAAAATTCCAAGTCTAATCTTTTTTCGTCCATAGAACATTTTTTTTTGAAAATGGAATAATCGTGTTTGAAACAGTTTAAACCTAATCCGGCCATAGCAGGACGTCCGCCGTAACCGTAAGGAAAATGTACAAGGGACACTTTATAAGCGGCTTTTGTCCCCTATCGGTCATCCGTGAATCACATTACTTAATTCATAAAATATAAGAACTGTGGATGAACGTGATCCGGATTTTATTTCGTCCAAATAAGAATTCAACGATTTTCGATTTCCCGTAGAACTTTAACGTTTGTCTGAAAATTGTTTATTTTTATAAAAAGGGAGCGAGTCAACCAACTATGATGCGCTTTGAAAAGGTCACACTATTGTAGTACTATTGAGGAACATAAAAATATAATTTATAATATTGTACACACTGCCCGCATCATTTACAGCAAGGGCGACCGCAGGGATTTGTCAATGGGGGGGGGGGGGCAATATTTGTATTTTTCAATTTTTAGTTTCACTATCCGATTAGTGCTAAATTATGGTTTGTGAAATGTTTTCTTTCAAAGGTTTTTACACTGACCACTGGAGGATTGGCTTGTCATCGTTTTAATAACATATTTTTAGGTTTGTCATATGATTTCAAAGAGTTAAACTGATTAGCAACATGCACACACACTGTACACCAAGCGCACATACATATTATTATATAAATGAACGCACTCCGTAGAAACTACTTTATAAAATATATATATACACAACTGTCCCCTACATATTATCCACGGGCATATAATATATACATTTATATTTGTATTGTAACTTATGATTTATTGCTTGTAGTCGTGTGTGTAACCCTTCTGGGCTGCAGGGCGAAGAGTTTGCCGGACATTAGCAATTCCGATGAGTAAACCGGGACGGCGTTGAAATATTATTTATTGTTTTCGCACTCGCAAGGGAGGTGTAGGTGCTGTTTATGTAGTCAACTTGGCTCCCCCGTCGGTATATTATTCAAATCTACACACAATGGACCATCGACATTTTGGCCGAAACACGTATAAAAAATCATAATACTATTTGTACGTTACTATAATTCGTTGATAAATTAAATAATTCGTATATTCGATCGGTGTAAATATTTTATAACTATATTGTCGGTATTGCCGACAATCGTTCGGGGATTTTTTTTAACAATATAATATCTATCAAACACCTGTTCGACCTGTTTGTGTAAAACGGTAACGACTTGGTTGTTTTGGGGTGGTTATAATTAAACCAACACCCCCGACGGCAACCCTTGGCGGGACAGGATATAGGTGAGAAACGATAGCCGTGAAACTACACATAGCGCACGGGGTTCGGTTTAATTAATACAATTCGGCTTCGGCCTACGAGGATAGTAAAATCCCTTATGGGTAACCGAACTCGGTCGGTACCTGGTGATTTACGGCCGGCAAGTAATATAACTTCTTCACACATACGGTTTGTGCATGGCGGCGGTCAGTGTCGATTCTGAATAATTAAACTTTGAGGGGTCCGTCGTTAAATTGTGTTCCGTATTAATACACCAAGGGAGCAATAAATAACGTTGGTAGCTTTTCTCAAATAACTCGAACGGACGTTCCGACCTCAGGTCCTTTCGTCCAGCCATCTGCAATAATAGTATAAATAAATTACAGTGTTTTATCGAGTATGTAGAGGTAGACACACACACACACTTTGGACTCTCACAAATGTTATTTATTTATTAAAATCCAAAGGTGACCTTATGTATAGCTTGCGTAGACGAAAATTCTGTCAAAACAACACTTGTAGATGTTATTTAAATGAAAAATAACATGTTGGTCCTTCGTGATATTTTAGGTACCTAGCTGACATTTTGCGCTTTTTGCTATTAACCGTACAAGATGTATATTTAAAAGTTACAGAAAACATTTGAAAAAAAAACATTTACATATATATTAATGTTTTTTAAATGTTTGCGTTAATATTTAAAAATCCTGTTTGAACTTTTTTTTTGTACCATTAATTTCATTTTTGTTTCAATAAATCATTTTTTAGTTTAGCCTATAGAGTGTATGATAGGAACGATTGATGATTGCACGAGATAAATACAAATTTGGTTGCTTCCTGTAAATATATTTGGTCGTCGGGTCACGGGTGCGGTTTTTTCTACTTTTTTTACTTAGCTCTGCGTCACGGCCCTTGACTGTGCCAGGCTGGATAACACTATCTGCAAAAAATACTACTGAACAGGTTGTCGTTTCCTCTGCGTTGAATATCGTAGTTGCTTGTTGGACTGTTAGTTCTGTACGTTGATTTTTGGAAGCTGAAAATATTATCATTTTTACAGTAGCCATAGAATATGAAAAACATGAACAAAACTAAAAAATGATATACGTTACAGTGTTATATTATTGTGCTAATACGTTGTTAGCATTGGCTTTCGGTGAAACGATCGAGGTTTTCAAGGTACATTGAAACGTTTGTGTAATTCTGTGTTGAACAGCAAATTAAAATATCATTTAACAACGACTTTTAAAATTGTTTTTTCGCAGGAAAAAAATGTACCGTTGCATATACTACGGGCTATGGATATAACGAGTATTACGAGGTGAATAAAAGTTGGGTGCGCTGTGATGGTAGTTGCTTTTTTATGACATTTTATGCGCAAGGACCGAGCGATGCACATATCTCGCTGACAACGGACAGGGGCAAAAAAGGAAAATATGAAATAGTTATTGGAGTTGACGGAAATCGTTATTCTGCGATACGGAAGTTAAACGAGTAAATAGCATTAAAAAAAAATGTATTATTCTATTGATTGTTATGTGTATTATTGTATATTTAATGGTTGTAGATCTTCAAATTATTATGATCAAAACGTGGCCTTAAGTTCTATGCTTGTTCTCGACGACGAAAGACTTACCGGTTTTTGGATTCAAGTGTTTCGAAATGGAACATTCAACACTGGCAAGCTCGGCGACTCCATACCTCTTATGACTTGGACGGATCCATCGCCAATAACGATTAATTATTTCAGTTTTGCCTGTTGGAACAATAAAGTTGTTAAATGGCTCTTTAACTGTTATCCAAACCCAGATTCTGGTCAGTATGAAATATTTGTAGGTACTTTAACGCTGTATTAATAGCTATAAATTTACAATTTTGATTCAGACAAAACTGACAATCAGACAGTAGCGGATCCAGGAGTTGTCCAAGGGCGGCGTGAATTTTTATTTTTAGACAAAACTGTCAATCAGACGACCTTTCTTACACCCATCGAACGCCTTAGAAAAGACATTCTAAAAAATGGCAGTCATTTCAGTAACAGACCATCGACGGATGAAAAAACTGAAACTTTGGATGTAACCATAACTTTCGATTTTCAGTATATATATTTGGTAGGTAAATAATTTAAAGCATGCACAATTTTTAAGATAAACTTAATTATTTTTGTATTTTATAGGACGTTATGACATCGAAACTTAATATCATAGGATTCGCCACACTTGTAAGCAATTTTATTAGGACCTAAATAAACTGGCTAATTTGACTACAACTTAATGGTGTAATTTTTAATTAGGGAGGTTTAAATAAATTATCAATCATACAACTCAAAAAATTTTCCTCTTTTATTTAAATAAAATTCTCTCGATCTACATATCACAATTAAACAAATATTCACCTTGAGTAATAAAAAAAAATGAATGTCTATGTCATTATCCTAACAATAGTATGTCTGTTTACATTATATTTTTTTATCTCAAAATCTGATTGTTCCAACCAATCAATGTATTTATTTTTTGCTTTCCAACTTGGTGTAATAACTAAAATAGGAACTCGTTGAATAAAAACTACAACGCGTTACAATAATTAGGTTGAAAAAATATTTGAACTATTTGTATGAAAAGCTATATAATATCCTCGTAGTATTTTAAATCTAACATCTAGTGTTTAAACGTATATAATCGTTTTAATAGGAGTGGACGAACAGTAGGCTTAGCTGGGATCCTAAAGCCTATCACAACATATCTAAACTTCATTTTTCTCATTCTGAATTGAGGCGGCCCGAATTGGTGTTACAAAAGTGAATTGATAAACTATTTAATTATTCGAATGTTATCTTTAATTCGCCTATACACTTCAAGTGGCTGTTTTTTTTTATTCTAGTTCTTTCGCACCTTCGGTAAACATATTTTCTAAAGCCAAAATTTTGGTAAATAGTAATGGCAAAATAATCTGGCGACCAGCTTTTCGTGTACTGACTACATGCAATATCGACTTGCGGTTTTGGCCGTGGGACGTGCAACATTGCACTATACCGTTAAGTACTAGGTCGCAGAATACATTGAATGTGCACTACGAGGCAAATCAAAATTACAAAACCGTAAGTGTTGAATTTGTAGTTTGTACAAACACGTTTAAAGCGAATATTATTGTAGGCGTGCCCTAATGTAGTGCATTCCGGCTGGAAAATCACCCAATTCCGAAGCTCATACATGGAAGAAAATACACCACGGAACGATGACATGAACTGTGCACTGGACGTCAACACTAACAATATTTCGCTTCAACTCGAAATCGAATTATCGAGAAACGCAAACAGCTTGAGGAAGCTATTTCACACTCCTTTAATATGTATGTTCCAGTGTATACAGTAATTAAACTTATCTTTAGGATTAAACGGGACAAGGCAATGAATTCAAAACAGAAGTGACTTGAATAAACATGTTGAGTTGGATGTGTGAAGAGACTAGTTATGAAAAAGTACTATGTCGTGAAAAAATGGTAGATGTCAATTGGAAAAAAAATGATTACACTAATAACAATGGCGATTGCTATTGAGGAATAGGGGGGGGTTACAATGAGAAATAAGATAAAATCAGCCGACAAAAGATTTAATTGGATTGAAGAGTAGTTATAGTAATATTGGAATATGCAGAACACTTTACCTATTCAAATCCGGATTAGTCGAACAATCTGTTTTTTTTTTGGATTTCATATTTTATTTTTGTCCAAGGTAAACAGTAAAGTTAATTTTTTTAAACAAACGTAATCAATCTAGTTATACATACGTTTTACTACGTACATTTTATGATTTAGCCTGGATTAAAACAAAAGTAATTAAATATTAAAATACGGATCTTTAAAATCCGGACTTGAATACTTATCCAGATACTAGTTTTTTCATTAAAATTGCCCCCTAGGTCATATTCTTATGGGATAAGGCGACGAAGACTGTGATTTCAAATAATTAACACAATTAATCCATAAGAAACTGTTTTTTTTTATTTTCAGTAATAAGCTCAGTGTGGTTGTCATCATTTTTCGTTTGGTCCAAATCCAATTTAAAGTTCAAAATCATTTTTATGTCAATAATTATTTTGACTTTTGTAATTGTAACCATAGGGATCTACGTACCAGTTGAAGTGCAGGACCCGCCGATACTGTGTGAGTATTAAACGTTCAAATATTTTTCTACTAGATGCACTGATCGCTTAATTATTGCCCGCTCGTTATTGATCGTTTTAAAATTTGTTTAACTTATATTTAAGCGGTTTCGTTATTCAGAGTAAAGAAAAATAATAGACAGTAATTTTAATTACTATTAATTATACGAGCAGGTGCGCCAGTGTATAATCATAACTGTTACAATATACTCCTCGTTTTATGACATGTCGATGCAAATTACTTCTAAATAAATATTAGTTTTGAAATATGTAAAAAAAATGTTAATATTTGTTTGTTGTTTAATTATCATTTAAATTGAATATTATTACAGTTATAATATGTACATTTTTTTTTTCAGTTGAGGGGTATCTAAATATGGTGTTGATTATTTCAATTGACGCTTTCACGTCATCGATTTTCATAGCGCTTCGTAATCACAAAAAAACAAAAACTGAACTTCCTTCATTCAAGTTGATGCGGTTCTTGACAACACCTTTTGTCGCCAAATTATTTTTACTGCCAAAATTGGAATCGCTTGGCGTTTACAGTGAGTTGCCAGACGCAGAACAGCCGACCACCATGTGGGATATCGTTTTTGCGGCAGCACAAAGAATATTATTTTTGTTTTATTTTACAATCACTGCACTAATATTGACATTATATTAAAATTCGTTGAAAACCTATGGGGGAAAATATCTGTAAATAAATTTAAAAAAATTAAAGGTATTTTTCCCCCCTAGCAATTCTAGTTTGGTTTATAAAGGTTTTCAACGAATTTTAACCTTTATAAACCAAACTAGAATTGCTAAGGGAGGGAAATACCTTTTATTTTTTTATTTATTTACACTAATTTACCGGCCCGTTTACATTTAACCAACTATAAGCCAACTTTGCAGCGTACAAAATAATATATTATACATGTTTTATTATTTATATTATAGCTTTAGAAAAATTATAAAAACAATGAGTTCTTATTGGTGGGGTTTAGTTGTCTTTTCAATATCTGTTTAAATGTTGAAGTTGAAGTATGTAGAACATAATGATGCGAAATCGAAAACTGGTTTTCAAGCGAAAGGTCACTTTTCTCTATTTGCTTCTCATTACTACATACATTTTGCTTTTATCAGAAAAAATTATGGGTGAAAGGTTTATTTATTTAAGTTCTCAACAGCTGAGGTCATTGACCTGAGAATTTATAGATTACAAATTATATTGAAAAAAATATCATATTGCATAATTATTAATAGGTAACGTGTTAAGATTTATATTTTGATATAAAAATATTTCTTTTTATCTTGAGTTGTAACATAAAACTGCCGACGCCCCACAGCGTGTACCAAAGTTGAACTTTAATATATATGAAGATGGTTTTTATTGCAATTTATCAATCGAGACAAGTAATAATTACTACTAGCCACAAAAATGCACTTAGAGAGCCAAATTGTGCACATAGTATATTATTTTATTATTTCTAATAAGCACCAACGTTTTTATTTGAATTGTGTTATTTGATCGAATCATTAAAGACACCGGCTGGATTATACCATAGTGACTCACTATATGTATAACATAATATTTTTGATATAATATACAACAGATAACACAATAGGTACAGCGATAATATAATAATAAATGCTATACGAACAAGGCATTATTAACAAATAATTCATATTGTAACATTTATAATACAAATATGCTAAAGTTTGAAATAAATAGGTGTACATTTTTTCTTTTTTGGAGGGGGGGGTATTTAAATAAAATGTATTTAATTCTTAATCTGCTTTAAATGGATCGTATTCGGCGTCCAGATTAACGAGTTTACAACTAACTTCCCATAATTTTGCCGCAGTCTCTTTGTCTTTCGCCGCCGGCGACGGGTCCGCGATCTTGCAATCGCTAACACGCGGAAAAGACAATATATAACATATAGTCGATAACAATACAGTTATCGTACAACCCAACAGCTAATAGGATACAATATTATTACCTGTAGTATAAGCCTGTTTCGTTGGCACATCCACTGTCCAGAGCGCAATGTAACGTTGTCTGACAGCCTTGTCGGGGTGTTTTCACAATCAGCTTGGTAAAACCGTTGTAGAGCCAAGAAGCTCCCGGGAACACTGTCTGATCGACATACCTACTCAAGTTGGTGTGCACCACTCCTGGATTTACGGCATATACATTAACGCCGGTTCCTGGCAAAAAATATCATACTTAGGTATACATGGCGCATTGTTTTATACAATTATACAATAATAATTTACTGCAGAGTTGGCAAACAAATTAAAATTGTTTAGATATGTGTAAACCGGTTTTTTTTGTGGGGAGGGGGGGGAGGAGGATAAATACGAAACATTAGTTGGAATAGAAAAAAATCCCTTCTTGGGGTTTGGTCGTTTTTTGCCATCTCTGTGTTAAATTTATCCGCGGTAAACCTTCAAGTCGTGTTGCCAGTTCCAAAGTGAACAGAATGTTGGCCAATTTCGACCGGCCGTAAGCACCGGTAGGAGTATATTTTTTGTCCAAGTTGATGTCGTCGAAATGCATCAGTTGGTCGCCCCCTAAAATCATTGAGTAGAAAAAATGACAACTATAAAAGCGGTGGATTTGTATAATATTATAACGGTATAATTTGTCGGCGACTCTTACATGTGTGAGCTAATGAAGTCACGTTGATAATTCTTGCCGGCTTCGACCTCAATACTCTAGGAAGTAGCAACAAGGTGAACAAGAAATGACCTAGATGATTGGTGGCGAAATGGAGCTCTTGTCCGTCCTCGGACATTGTCTTTGGACACATCATTATACCTATAGGAATTTACATTTTGTCTAATCGTTTTAAAGACCTGAGAGGTAGAAGGACGCTTCCGTCTCGGTGACTCAGATCCATTTTTGAGAGTGGTAAAAATATAAACAAAAACTAATTTTCACATGAGTACCCCTCAATCTGATCAAAATGGACTTGGACCCTTCTGCCTCGCAGGTACATAATATTTTATTGAGTCGATTTATACATTTCAACGCCGGGTGGTCTAAAGCCAATTTAAAAAAGCATACTAACCTGCGTTGTTAATTAGAATGTGTATGTTTTCTTCGGAATTTAATATTTCCGTGGCGCATTTCCTCACGGAAGCAAAAAACGACAGCTCTAAATGTCTGTACACTAATTCTCCAACATTTTCGTCGTTTTCGACCATTTGCTTGATACTTTGCATAGCTTCTTGTGTTCTAGATGAACTCCTGCACGCCATTATAACTCGAGCACCTGGATAAACGGTTTTTAAATTAACAACATTGTGTCAAATCTATTAATTACTTGATTATCATCTCCTTATATAGAGTTTTTCCATCAAAATTTGCCGGCCGGAATAGTGGAATCAAGTGAGGGGGTCTCTTTCCACCATTTAAGATCACATTACAAATTAAATCCGACGATGAGTGTTCACACCTCACCTTGGCAATCGATTACAAGACGTCATGTCCGGAAGCTAGCATATAAAAGGGTTGGAAATCTACTCCCTTCTCAAAATTCAAGAACCCCCCTTGATTACCTTTTTTGATTATCATTTCTTTAGGTACTTCAATCGCTAATCGCACAAATTCTCTATCTCTTACGTTTAACGTCCTGTTATTCCACCGATCGGGTCTTGGACGGTTTTAGGTTTGGCATTTTCGGGCTTATAGCTGGCTGCCGACTTAACGCTACCAAACAAGTTGGCCCCACAAAGAGGGGAGGTGCCTATTTCTCCCTCCAGACAGTTGCCCCCCACCGAAGGAACAAACCGACAGTGGGCAGCGACCGCGCGTTAGTACACTGCCGCCTTATCTCATTCCGCCACGTGCCTGCCCCTAACAATTGAATTAAAACTAAACACCTAGCAATCATCGCTTTATAGACATCACAGGCTATTTTCAATCTACAATAATACATTGATATCGGAATACCAACAGATAACAACTATGCCGACACCCGTCAAACGTGGTTACTTTGTCATCTTTTGGTGGGTTAAAAATTATTAAGTAGGTGCAGCATAAAATACCATTATTGTACAAAAACAAATTATTGATACAATTTTTTTGGAAATCAGACCTCATGCATTTACTTGACAACTTCAGAAAAATAGTCAGATCAAGATTTATCAATTCGAATCTAAACTTTAAGCTGTCTTATCAAAATAGTTAGCTCGTTCCTGAAAGAGACTGTTCCGTCTACGGCCATGTTCCCTCTAAGTTTAAGAATGGCTCTTTGTTACAATTTACTTAAATAGGTAGCGAATTATTAAATATTTACTGTATAATCAAGTTAACTTACAAGACAACTAAACTTGTATTTTACATTAATACAATTAATAATACCTAGTTATAAAAGATATTATTGTGTCGTTTTGATAATATTCATAGGTGGAGATTTCATTAATTTTTTGGGGGGGCTAGCATTTTTCTACCTAAAATGACCCGCAAGAGATTTACACTCCTAAATTATTAATATATAATACTATATAACATTACAAATGTATAAATAAAAATCATAATAATTAGATCCAAATATATCAATTATTTTTTCTACATCAATATTTAAATCGTTTTCAATGTACAATATGGATGAATTATTAAACCTGTCTTGCAACATACTAGTACGTAACCATGTCTTAATTTTGCGCATAGCTGAAAAGCCAGAAGCTACATCGGTGTTATTTTCAACAATTATGTCATTTTTTTTTTGGTGTATTTACAAATATCAAAATATTTTGCTATTTTAAACACAAGTTAAGATAAAAGAAAAACTTAATTTAACAATAAACAACAAAAAAAACGTTAGCGGTTAGTGTATCGTCACGACAGCTGTGGTCGACGGTCAGTGGTTGGTCAAACTAACAGTGTGACCACTGACCGGCGACCGCAATCACAAAAAGTGGAAAAATGTATAACTTTATTTAGCACTTGAATTAAAATTAAATGATAACATTATCAAACACATTGTTATAATGTTTGGCCGTTTTGGAACTGAAATAATTTCCATAATTTATTCTTATTAATAATTTTAGTTTTTACTCCATTAACTAAGGAACTTATTACTTTGATGAGTGATCAAATAATTGGGGGGGGGGGCTATTGATAATTTTGGGGGGATAAGCCCCCCCAATCCCCGCCTATGATAATATTAGTTATTTTTTGTTTTAACTAATTAAAATTTAATACATTATCTATACTTAAATATTGATAACAAAATTAAGATGGAGACTTAAAAAACAGGAATTCTATGTACCTACTTAATATGTATACTACATAAGTGATCACTTCTTATTAATAGGATCTCATATGAATCAGCCACGTTTTTAAAAAACTTACTTTTGAAAAAAAAACTCACTTTACTTTTGCATTAAAAGTAGGTTCTCTACAATTCACAATATGAATGTGGTACATCAAAGTGTAGGTACCTAAATTACTCTAAAGATGTTAAAATATAATATCCGATTTCGGACAACGTGTAAACTTTTGTTAAATACAAATGATGTGTGATTTAATATTGAACTATAGTCCGACTATAGTACACTTCTATAGACTGTCTATAGAAGTGAAAATCCGCTAATAATATTGTACTCTGTAAAGGTACATAGTTCTAATTATTTCTATACCTACACAAATGGATAAGATAACATAGAATTTTAAATTATGCATATTACTGTTGCTTAATTTTTTTTTTTTTTGTAACTAATAACTATTTCAGACAGTACGCAGTAGGTAGTATGATTTTTAAAACAACGAAATCAAATTTTGTAATAAGTTTTTTTTAATATTTACATTGCAGTAGGTTTAACTTTACCTCTCTTGTACAGGTCCAGTACAATTTCTTTTCCAATTCCCGTGTTGCATCCTGTTACGACGACCGTTTTTCCGGCGAGACTAACAAAAGACTTGCAGCTATTCGGTAAAAGATACTCCATTTTGAACTTTTAAACTGTTTAATTTTAAATGAAATAAACTTTCGTTAAAATGAGAATTTTTAAATATGATGATAAGAGTTTACCACAGCCGTGCACACGTATACGAAACTATTTTTTTTTTACTATAGGTTTGTGTGCTATATCAACTTTAGTGTATGCTGTGTTAATGTACATATATATATATATATATATTATCACTGTTCTGCCGTTTATTTATCGAGATCAATGATCACATTATTTTATATTTTATGATAAAAATTTCAACAGCTGTGGCGTAGCATAGTAAACATTATATAAGCAACACAAGTTTGCAGTTGTACTAAATTTCATGAAAACACATATTTTCCGCACAGCGTCATACTTTAAAATGAACTAAACATATATTGTATTATTACCAATTTTTGTTTTTTTGATTTTCTGTACACACAGATTGTATCAGCGCATGCGTTACACACGCTCAACAGGTTTTTTGCATTACCTGGATATGTTAGCATATGAAGTTTATGAACCAATGTATATAAGATGATGTTATTACACAATATTAATAACTAAATCATAATTACACAACTGTTAATAATATAAATTATAAAATATTAAATCATTCACTATAAAGTCATAATATTAAAAAACCTACAAAATGCAATATCCTAATTAAAATTAGGAAAAATTCAATTTTTCGCGGCCATCATTAGAAGTCAAAACAAATTTTGATAAAAAAAAAAATATTGCTCTCTGCAAGTTGGGAAAAATTAAAATTTGCAAAATTATCGAATCTACAATGTTGGTAATAATTAAAATTGTAATAAAAATGTAGAGAAAGTGGACATTTAATACGAGTATAACAATTGGTAATTCAAATTCAATTGCCAATTAATCATATTAATATACATACTAAATAACTAAATGTGACATTTACCGTTTTTCAATAGACCGATATTTTGTAACCTTTTTAATAACAAGTTTAATAGGTATTTTTAACAACATACTGTTTTGTATTGTGTAAAGATAAATAATAACTTATTTAATAATATTATATAAACGCTTTTTTACGTTTATTAATTTACTCACACGGCCACTAATTATTTAAATAAACCTAATAACCTATTAACACTGCATGGTTATACACTGTCACTAATAGCATTTATTAGTTATTAGGCAAAATATGTATAAATTACACTGGGGAACAGTTATTTTGCGACACAATATACAGGTGTCAATTTTGAATAATTCTAGGCTACAAAGTACAAAAAATATCAGTTTTACCGAATTGTCTCTAGTTTATGAGATAGACTCCAGCTAATAGGCTGCAGAAGGGGTTAACAAAGCAAAAATTATTATTATTAATATATCTTATCAGTTTATTTGGACTTAATTAGTTGGCTTTATCAATTTTATGAACTATTTGGTTATTATACACATATATCACATATCACATTATCACATAGCCAGATAACCGAGAGACCACTGCCTGATAAGTAAGACTGCGGTAAGTAAGTAAATTTGGTAAAAACAACCTTTGGTTGGGTATACTTAAAATAATACAACTGAAGGAGGGTAGATCGCAAAAGTATGATATTTTAGACATGTAGTTTATCTCGAGAACCAGAGTTATTATAAACAAAGTAACTGCATTTCATATTTGTATAACTTAGGCTATACTTTTTTTTACTAAAAACATAGACAAATTTTATGCCACAAAAATAAATTTTTTTGTTCCCCAGTGTTATAGGACCACTTATCAGATTAGGAATTTACCATTAACTGGAATACTAGCAACACTGTGCACATAAAAAAGAACCATAAAATAATGAAAACAAATTTATTTAAACCAAAAGTACAGCGTTAATACAACCGTCATTTTCAGGATTATTAGTAACTTGGGCATATTTACCCCACACTACTTTTCCGGACTGCGTGACCAAACCCAACTCACTAATATTTACTTCTATGACCGTACCCTTAGTTATGACTCCTAAATTTGTGTACATGGGAGAATTTGGATTCTTTTTTACACCAATGATAGGTAAACAGAATGTGGCTTTTAATTCTGGATGAGTGACATGGGCCTTATTAAAACGTAACGCCATTGGTCTGATGAACCTTTCGAACTTTGGCGGCTTGCGGGTAAATCCTTCGCCGACATAACATACTTTTGTAACCATCCGCTTCCATGCCTTTCTTCTGGATTTTCCTGTTCTTAATACCTTGAATGTTTCAGCGTCGGATTGAGCACGTACTTTGGGAATTGGTACATCCCATTTACCGGCCTTTTCCTTACGTTTTTGTTTAATCATATTAGACAGTACTTTAGCACTAGACTGAACATCTCGATCGAGTAAGTAAACTGGAAGAGCGCCTTCTTTAGGTTTATCCTCTTTCTTTTTTTGTAGTTTCTCTTCATGTTCCTTGATCTTCTTCTTCATTTGTATCTTTTCATTACGCCTCTCTTTGTTGTAAAGTTTAGCTTTCAGACCTCGAAGACGTTTTGCTTTGTCTGACCGCAGATGAGGTTCTCTCGCCTCCTTCTTACGCATACGTTGTTCATAATCGAGACGGCGACCGTACAATTTACGGTGCCTCTCCATGTACTCATTCTGTGGCATGGTTTATACTCTGTAAAATGATAACGGTTGTTATGAAATATCTTTTATTATAACTCAATATATAAACAAAAGACTAAGTATCAATAACAAAAAAAACAAATGTAAAATCTTCTAAAATATTAGAAGTTATGTACGATGATAAAATACAGTTCATATAAAGGATAGATATAAAACAGATAACTTACGTCTTGTAGCTGATGTTGTATATCAACAAAATATACCTTGTGTGTATTATTAAAAATTTAACTATAACAGTAATATAATGTTCAATTAATTATTAATACCTAGGTTAATGACAATTGTTAATTAAAAAATAAAGTACGTATTTAGGTATTATGTTTTCATTTTTTTTTTTGTTTTAAAATAATTTAAATTTTAAAACTGACTTGAGTTTGCACTCAATGTAAAGAAAATTAAATTATCAAATATCAACATGTCTGTGCAACACATTATGTTAACCTCAAAATCAGCCATGTCAAAGACATTGTATAACAAAAAAAACTGTAATGCCTTTTTTTTAGGAAATACAATGATAAGCGAGTTCATATGCGATATTGATAGCAATAACAATAATACAATTCTACTTTTATTGGCATGACAAATTGACAGTGTTCAATGTTCATTACAAGATTAAATTATTATGATTGTGACTCACAGCTCGAAAAACCAGGTAATTTTTAATTATTTTGTTCTTGTTATAGTAAATAATATGCACTGATATTGTTATGCATACCTATTTTTTTTTTTTTTAATCGAATAACTGTTCATTATTTATTTTTTGATAAGTAAGTGAAATGTCGTACTGTTCCGTTATGAAACATCAAACATCTAACATATTGTGTATCGGTTTCCCTATAATGTTTCTTTTTTAAAGTTCACCCGAAATTTACCAATGAAATATGTAATTATTTGTTGAAAATTATGTTTGTTTTATATCTATATTGTAATTGTTTTATTCAATAACTGACATTTTTTCTTTCTTACTTTTTACTGATTAGGCTCAAGATGGGACATATTTATGTTAGCATTTAATAATATTATCATTTTAATAACAAATTGTATTGCAGGACTGGTAATGGTTTTTAAATGCAAATATGGAAGAACCATATGAAAGAGAATTGTACAATTTATTCAAAAGTGAGTGCAACGCTAATGGAGTCGTAGATCATAATGGCGTAGAAGCTTTGTGTGATACTTTACAATTGGACTTCAATCAACGAGAACACATTTGGTCATGTTTGGATCGATGTCCGAGTGTTTCATTTCAACAGTTTCGAGATGCTTTAGTTTATTTAGCAAATAATGGCGTTAAAGATGTAAATGAACCAAGAGAGTTATCACCGGGTAAGAAAATCATAAATTAAAAAATAATTCCTAAGTTTTTACTTTAGTATGTTTAATGTCACTAGTAGACAATCAAGTTGAATTTTTCTCAATTAAAAAGTTTCTTCAATAATAATAATGCTAATAGTTTTTTGTCACTAAATGCTTGTTCTTTGACCTTATTTTTGACATTCCTTTCACTCATAGTGTATTGTTATTGTTAAAAAACTGTTAAATACATTCTTTATTATTATTTCTTTTCTATAGAATTATTTAGGTGACAACTGACATTAGAAAGAAAAAAAAATTCTTTCATTTTTATACTTTTTAAAATGAACAATTCATAAACTTCAATTTACAAAATTTTTTTTTTGTTTTGTCAACAGCTGACATTTTTAAACAATTCTAAAAAAATATTGAGCATTATTATGTACCTATTTATTATTTATCAATGGTGTAAACAGGTTGTGTTTGAGGTGCTTACAGTAAAATTGTTGAACCTCCCCCCCCAACACAGACATAGTAGTAGTTCCAAACTTACACTTGACTAAGCTACTCCTTCCAAACAATCAACGCTCAAAGTCATCCCCCTCCAAATTTTGACTCAATATATATGTTTTTTTAATTTTTATAATAAAAATTACGAGTATAAGAAATTTCTTCGAGGGAGGGGGTGGGTGATTTATTATATAGAAATGTATGTTTAGTTCTTCGGTTACGCCCCTGTGGGTAGTGTGTTCTGCTTTTATATGGATGACAAAATTAATATTGATATGTTTATTATCTACAAGATATAATATAGTATCCAATGACTAATTATTTTTTTCTCTAAAACTTACAGATTTTTTACCATTATTAGTGTTTGTTTTCGGTAAGAATTTGTTATGACTAAGTTCTATGGGTAAACTAATGCTTTTGATTGGCTGTTTAATGTTCATGTTTATTATGATTATAATCAATAAACAAATTTAAAATTGGATTTTTTTTTTATCGACATATTGTCATTAAAACATTTACATGTTTTATTATATACAGGGTGATCAATTAATAAACATATCAATTATAAGACACTTATTTTCTCGAAATGTAATAACAATTTTATAGTTCTTCTTCTTGAAACACTTTCATTTATGATATATTACAACATTGTAAAATTACCAAATATTTACGTTTTTAAGTATTTTCCCTAGCGCTATAAACTTTTGAAACTTAAAAATGGGAATTTAATTAATAAGAAACCCTATCCAAAATAAAAACACTTATAGACGGATTGACAACTATGTTGTCATCTTCAGTGCTACAGCAAGTTGATAGAGCTCTGGAAAAAAACTAAAATGGATAAATAATTGGAAATTCTACTAAATTGTAAAATAACATAAGTATAAATGATTTCAAGAAGAAGAACTATTTTAAAATTTGTATTACTTACCGAGAAAATGAGTGTTTTACGCTAAATTGATCACCCTGTATATATATATATATATATATATATACACACACACATATATTAGGCCTATGTATTACTGATATAAAGTATTATATATGTATATGTATGTATATATATATATATATATATTTATATATATATATATGTATAATTTGTAAAATCAATATTTAAAAACCATTTTTCATGATAGCTGTTGAAATGTGACAAGTGAATAGTGAAAAGTTATTTGGTAAAAGCCGATTGTGTAAAATGAAACAGCGTCCATTGTGTTTCCAAATGATGCGGTTTTTGTAGTACAAGGAGTTTAATAATTTTTTGTTTTTGTAGTAAGGGAAATATCACCAAAATATGTTTCTGGTGCAAAAAAATATGGCCGTCGATCGAAACCTCGAGATGACAATTATATCATTAGTCCACTGCAATCATCACCGAACGATATGAAGAATAACTGTATGTCATTTTCTCCTCGAAAACTGGAATATGAAAATGTAAGTCGACTTTAGGTTAGATTTATAACTAATTTTTTACAAGTATGTTTTAAAAATATTGGTGGTGTTTACAGGGAGCGTCAAATTTAAAGTCTAACGAACTACAAGAAAAAAATAGAATGTTATCTCATGGTGACGATAAAAATTGTATGAATATTTCTATATTAAGATTTGGTGTCAGACAGTTTTAATTTTACAATTAACATTCAAACGTTTAATTTGTAGATACATTAAATGATCGTTTGTCAATGGACAAACATGGCTTGAGTCTGGCTTGTGAACATTTAGAAATTACGCCTAGCGGTCTCATTTCAAAAGTTCAACTATACGATGTGGTTCAACACTTTGGTAATAATGAAAAACTGTTTGAAAAAATTAATGAAAAATACACAAACGATGACATACCCATTAAAGAAGTACTTGAAATAATCAACAACTTAGATTTTCGATCTATTTCACCGGACTCTGAAACATCGACGTCGGGCGTATCTTCTACGTCGTTTTACAATAACGGGGACAACTCTCCCAGTTCAATGTAATAATTATATTGTTAAATCTCTATTTTAGCTCTTAACTTATTCATTTTATTTATTTATGTTTTTTTTTAGGTTGGTAAATGTGAACACCATAGTTGAGCTATGGGATAATTGTTGCATACCCGAGCCAATAAACTTATTGCAAGACCTCGGGATAGATCCGTCTTCAGAATCTATGTTTAATTTACTTGAATTAATATCTAGTATAAGTGCTGAATTTCGCAAATTGCATAATAACATTACTGTTTCTACGTTACCAAGTTATGAAATCATACATTCGGCTTTTGTTTTACTGAAAGCGTTGAATTCATTAAACGAATATCAGAATAAATGGCTCAAGTAAGATAATAATACTTACATCATATCGAAGCCAACCAAACTGGTGGTTGGTGGAGGCTTTTACAGCTAGCATCCGTCTAATGGTCAGAACTGATTTTTTTGGTAGTTCACATTTGTAAACAAATGGTTTAGTCCAGATTGGTAAAATCACCCACTGCCAGTTCATTTGGTTCTGAAATTCTTGATACATATTTAATTAATTAATTTGTCTCTTTGCAGGATGATTATTGAACAGGTGAGTTGTGAGAAAGATAAATTGAAGTATGACGTGGACACTGCCAACAACAGAGCCGCTATGCTTGCTCAAGAAGTTGATGAAAATCATATGCGTTTAGAAAAATCTTCGACTGAAAAAATTATGTATGTGTTGATGTTTGAACTTCAGTCCTGGTTTTGACTATTCATTTTAATTTTGTACCCATTCCTTGTTTTAGTGCTTTAGAGCATAAACACAATGAAGAAAGAAAAACACTAATCGATCAGTGGGGATTAGAAAAAGATCATTTATTTAGTCAGAACAATATGCTCAATGAAAAATTAAGAGAAATTAAAAATTATGAATCAGAATTACAATCTGAACTCGCAACAATAAAAAAAGTATTTTATTTTTTTATTTTTTAAAAAAAAATCTTGATAAAGCCGAATGTAATGTTCTAAATTATATTACGTTTGTTTTAGCAATTGAGTAAATTAGAAAAAGAAAATTCTCAATTAAATGAATGTTTGGAAGAAACATTAGAAAAGAATGCTGCGTTGGAAATACATGTACAAGAAATTCCAAAATTAAAGCAAAAGGTAATGTTGAAATAGTTTTACTTTCAGCGATATTTGATATTGTCATTTCATTTCACTTAAAAATTAACATCTCACTATGAGTTTTTCTCGATATATATTGAACGCAAATATTATCTGAAATAAATTAACAGAGTTTGTATGGTTGATTGAACTCGACTTGGTTAAATATTTTGGCTCTCTAGCTTAATAATTGTGAAAGACTTGCTGTTATCGGTCAAACTTACCTTTAGACCATGATAAGAGATTTTTTTTTTGTTATATTTGTATGGCAACCAAAAGTCTAAATAATATTTAAATTTCAAAAACAAAAATATTGAAGAAGTTATATGCTGACAATTTAGCAGCGGTTGTTTCATTAATTATGAAAATATATATACAAGTATTAATATTTTATTGAACATTATTTTGTTAATTTCTTCAATTTGATTAGTAAAATTATTTACTTCTAGTTTAAGTAACTAATAATGCTTATGTTTAATGAAATATCAAATATTTGGAAGTAGTAAATAAGTAATGTTTGTTAAAATTTAGGAGTTGGAACTCGAAGCAAACAATGGACAAATAATAGATCTATTGGAGAAAATTGATAACTTGAAAAATGAAAATAAAACTTTGAGAGATCAAAATGACGAATTAGTAATTGAACTCGAAGCAGTTAAAGGGTAAATCTTTAGTTAATTTAAATTGATTATTAGTAATATTATTTATAATTCAAAATTTATTATAATATATAGATTGCATAGTCAAGATCATGATAGATCATTTGAAAGTAATGTGAGAAATTTCTTAGCCGAAGAAAACAGTCCAAATTGTTTTGGTAAAATTAATATGTATTCTACGACAAATGATTTGGCTGAAGAATGCACTGATTCAACCAACACCTCGGAGACGTATACAGTCGAATCTGACAGTAGCACTTGGAACAAAGTAAGTGTTATAATATTATACTTTGTTCAGTGGCGACGAACCAAATGTTGGTTAAACTTAACGTGTTCTTATTGCGAATAAAATAAAACTTTGAACATTCTAAGAATTTATTTTTAAAACATTTTCATTAATTTCAGGATGAACTTTCTAGCGATTTAGAACAAAAATGTCCGTTGACCTCATCCACGCTTGTTAACAATATCAAATCCACATTATCGCAATCGCAAATCAATTCAGATCAATTAAACGAACTAATTAACTATTTGGAATTAATGAAACAAAAATCACAATCATCCGACCAGAAAAAAACTTTACCCGTATTACAGCATAGTCCAGATAGCGTGATTTCGTCATCGCCGTTGGCCAAGTATCCCACTCGGCGTTCGTTGATCGAACAATTTGAAAACTCTTCTTTAGAGTCGACATTTGTGGACTCTTCGCCGACAAACACTAATAGTGAAATTGAATCACTACAACAGCTGTACAACAAGTGCAAAATGGACAACCAAGAATTGCACAAACGCTGTGAACAACTTACTGCTGATTGGGAAGCAAGGTACAGCGACTTGGGTGAAGTCGCCGACAAAGCTTTGGACGAAGCAAAACGTTTGAAAGACGAATGCACAGGGTTGGAAAATGGCATGGATGCACTTCGTAATGAATATTACGAGTGTGAAGAATATTGGTCAACGAAATTGGATGAAGAAAGAAAGCTGAATGAAATGGTAAGTGTTGTTTTCGATGCGTATTGTGTTTAAAATTCAACAGCTGTGGCGTTCATTTTCACAGGAAAAGAAAATGAATGAAGAAAAATTGAACGACTTGGAAGTCAAAATAAAAGAGTACAGTGATATGTTACAAGCTGAAACTTCCGATAATAATAAATTATCTACGATCAATGAAAATTCTGAACTCGAAGAACAGGTTAGTGTGACAAAACGGCTAAACGGCTGATTAGTTAATTAATTTGTATTTGTGTATTTTGTGTAGATCAATTGCATTCAAACAGAATTTATGGAATATCAAACTAAAACTGAAGAGGAGTTGTTTAGATTAGTAAAAGAAAATGATGAATTAAAATGCAAAATAGTTCCACTAGTTGAAAAAGTTGACCGCGAAGTTTCTGTTTGTAAATTATCGGAAGAATGTGAAAAATGCAACGAAAACTTTACGGTGAGAATTTTTTTTTCATATTTCAAATTTATGTAATTACTTTGTAGATGGTAATAAGTATTTTTTTTTTTTTTTTTACAGGCTTATAATGAATTTAAAACCAAACATTTGAGTCTAAAAAAATCGTGTCATCAATTAAATAAAGAATGCCATATGCTTGTACTACAAAGAAACAGATTAAGAAATGAAATATCAAATTTACAACAGTATTTCATCAAATTATCTGTGAGTATCGCTTCCTAGATAGAGTTTATTCTTAATATTTCTGTAAAATAACTACCACTTGACCTTACCTCTAAATAATCCAGAACATTTTATTTTCATATATTTTGTTAATTTTTAAATCGATGTTGTCCTTTGGTTACGACTCATTGACGAACACGGCTATGTACGAGTCTTTTATTTTTATTTATGACAAATAATATTTTAATATACGTGTATATTTCGCTTTCAGAATAATCAGCCAACTCGACAGGACGTCTATTACAGTAACCAATTATCTACCGAGGCTAGGAAATGTAAAGAATTGGAACAGAAGCTGCACAGCGAGCAGGCGAGACATCAAAAACTTACAGATGGTCAGAGATAAAAAAAAAAATGTTTTTTATCATTAAACAATATCTCATTTCTTGTTTATAATTTACAGCTATATGGAAAGAACATCAGTTGAAAGTAGACGAAGTTCATAAAATATTACGGTCCTTGCAGGACAGACTCGAAGAACAAATTAAACTGAGAAAAGATAAAGTATGTTTTACATTTAACGCAATCGAAAAGTACATTACGATTAAAATTGACAGTATTTTTTACAAATAATGCATTTTGTTTTGACAGACTAAGCAACTTATGAGTGCCGATATGGTAGTCAAAGAACTATTTATTGATAACGCTAAACTTATGTCAATGGTACATAATCTTCAATTGCAAATTGACCATTCATCGACTTACAACTCAATGTAAGAATCTATATTATTTTTGTACATTATTTTTTATATTTTACTTATTATTGTTATATACTATAATATTTTGCAACCTAATGTTAAATTTTTTTTTTTTTGAAATTGTAATTATTTATAGTTTTAAGGACTCGTACACTAATTTTTAAGGTGTGGACTTTTTGTTTTGTTTTTCATTGAATACGTTTTGAGTTCCCTAAGTATACTAATAATTATCATTATTGTATTTTTATTATATTGTAAACAGTGCCTTATAAAAGAGCTTATCAAATGGCTCTGTCAGCCATAGTAATAAAAACTGTAGCAGGGTATTTTCTAAAATAACTAAATATATGTATCCTTGGAAAACGATTTTGTTTGTGTATTTTCTAAATGGAAAAACTTTTGAGTATTTCAAAAATTTTTATATTAATATCATCTTAATTGTATGTAAAGCTAATATTTGCACCAATGTTCGATTTTAACATTCAGCAATTGTACGTTTCTGTTTTATTTGTGCCTTTTTAAATTATCGCGATAAGTGTGCACTTTCTATTAAAAAAAAAAAAAAAAATTAATTGTATAATTTGTAAGATTATGTATTGAATATTGGTAATCTTAGTTATAAATTTTGTTTTTATTCATATTAATCTTTTAGTTTTATTATTAATTGTTGTTACTATATTATTTGAATCTTTCAGTCACATTTTTTCAACTGTATTATTTTTACGTGTAACCAATACAATTTTTTTTTTTGTTAACTTGGAGATAACCAAAGATTATAAACACGATCGCTGTTGCGTGTTTCACTGTTTTAATTTCAATATTTCTAGTCAATTTTGTAAACGAAACATTCAATTTCTAATTCGAATTATTTATAGGTTGTTTATATGCATTGCTTACCTCCAAGTAATTTTGAATTACGTCTACATTGTGTTACGATATATACCAATAATATATAATACTCGATTTGAAAAACCATTGTTAAATTTTTCATTTATTAACACTAGCTCTACACAGCAGTATAATATAGTTGCAATAATACTAGACACTATGGAATTATTTATACTCGATTAAATTTTAAAAAAAAGTTTTGGGTTTTTAAATGGTTGTGACTGATAAGAGCAAGCGTATTACGACTAACTACAGTCAAGTTGTTTTACAAAATAAATTATATTATACACTTTTTTTTTTCCTTTAGTTATTATTGTGCTTTTTTTGTTGTTATTCATTTTAAATATAAACCTCATTTGAAAAAAAAAACTGTTTTATTTTATTCTGATTATAGCTGCATTTATGAAATGCAGATATTAGATAATTGTGAATAATAATTTATTCCTATTAAAAAATGTCTAGTCCAAAACTAAAATCATCAGTATTTATTTAGTGAATTCTGAAGTAGGTAATATACTTTAAAAAAATTATTATTTTGTGCCAAATAAATCATTAGTTTTTAAATACACCAATATTATACCGAACAACAATGTGCTAAATTAAAACTTTTCTCTCTTTAGTGTTTCTAAAAAATGTTAAACAAAAATTAACGGTTCAAGTACATAAAAACCAACGTTTCCCATTCCCAATTTTAACTATAGACTGTTTTGAACATAAAATCAAAAACCTTAACATAAATAATCAAAATCATTTATTATAATCAATTAATATAATTTGAGAAGCAATTACAGTCGTTATCAATAAGTATAGTCATTTTTTGTTTTTTGTCAAAAAGCTATTAGTACATTTTAACAAGACTGTTAAATGTGGTCATTGAAAGACTTTCTTAAGAATACTTGTACTAAGAATATTACATTGAGAAAAAATAGGAAAATGTTAAGACAAAAGTAAAATTAGACGGGAAAAAAAAAGATTTTGATAAGGTATAAAAATAATTCAAAATTGTAACACAAGTATTTATAAGAATTGAAACTATGAATAATCATCGTAAGCCAGGGCCTAACAATGTGGGTCGGGAAGAACGCTTCTCCTGTTCTTTTTTCACTTTCGGGTCTGGCAAAAAGCATTTCCACATTCGTAATGTTTCGTCTGCTCCGGCAGATAGTACTGTCGAGCCGTCAGGGGACATGGCAAGATTCAATATACGATTCGTGTGTCCTGTCAGTTCAGCAACCTTTTAAAATTAAAATAATATATTAATATATTATTGTGAAATAAACACATCTTGTCTTGTAGAAGTTATTACTACCTTTGTCATCGATGGATACTTCCAGATGGTAAGTTGATTGTTAGCGAAACCGTGGGCGGAAACTAATTCCCTGTATGTTTTTGACCACAGTATTGCGCACACCTGTGAATTAGCATTTACCGAGTCGATACATTGGCCGTTATTACAGTTCCAAAACCGTATGTGCCTGTCAGCCGTACCGCCACCACTGGCCAATACGTTTGTTTGCCACGGACACCAGTCCAAAGCTTTGACTGCAGCTTGATGTTGACTGAAACGTTACGTTTGCAATTAGGAGTTTTGAAAAATTCAATCTAGTTAATATTATACTCATTTACCTGAAACTGTAAATAGGTTCGGCCTGATATGTAGCTTGGCCAGGCATGCCACTGTATATGTTGAGTAAATTATCGTTGCCGCCGCTAGCGAGGTAACGTCCATCTGGTGACCATTTTAAACCACAGACCTGTATTAACACATTAAACGTTACAATGATAATTCATAAGTTTACCTATTTCATTTGGCTGAGTTAAACACATTTATTTAGCGTACCTCTTGTGTATGGGATTGGATTGTGCCTATGACATGATCTCTTTGTCGAACATCGTTGTTAACGAGTTGTCCATTTCTAGAACCAGTCGTAAGAATATGTGTATTCCATGACATGGCACCAACTCTAGAACTGTGACTATTCATTACACGCAGTCTCTTTGTTTGTGAGGCATCCCATAACTGGAAACAAAAAAAAAATGATTAATTTCTGTACATAAGTAATTAGGAATATCAGATTATTTTGGCCGCAACTGCGCTTAAGTTTTATCGATAAAATATGACATCAAATTTGGGCATTATTCAAATCATTTTTTATCTAGATCGAGATAATTATTTTTGAATTTTTCCCAAGACTGAAGATTAACTTGTTTTTCTTGCGAGCTTAGGTTGTAAACTTATATTATATCATTGAAAAAAAAAAAGAAATAACACAAAGTTATAATAAAAATAATTTAGAAGATAATAAGTGAACTAAAAAAGTAGGTAGAAGATTACTTGCAAGCATTTTTATTATTGGTATTAACTGTCATAGGTTTACTCTAGTAGTTGGCTAATTACTTTAACTTTGAAAACTTAATTAAAATACATATTTAATGTAATAACTGCAATACTAACTTGTACAGGTCCTAAAGCGGTTCCAACGGCCAACAAATTTCCATTAGGAACCCAGCTTAGGGAGGTGACGTAATCGGCACCTTCTAAATCAAGAAGTTGATCGATTGCACCACTGTCGGCATTCCACAGGTAAACACTAGTTCCGAGAGCAACAGCCAGCATATTAGAGAAGCTCCAGTCAATTAAATTTAAATCTAATTACATATAAATATTTTTAAAAAAATTTAATTGATTTTCTTTTAATTAGTTTAGTTATGAACATATTATTACAATAATCGTCAACTATTTCAGGAGCGTCCAATATACGGTCTGGCGCATGAGGTATGTAACGAGTAGTTCCTCGTACGTTCATTGGAGTCTTGGATTGGCTATAGACTACTTTCAAAGCGTTTTGATAGCCCTAAAAACATTTACAACGCAATGAGTATTAACATTCGAAAATTGTATAAATATCAAACAACATACTTCAGGGGGAGCTGGAGCTTTGTTTTGATAGGACAGAACACGAACGTTATTAATGTCACAGCCATGGAGATTTTCAGACATGGCTTTTCTATAGTCCGATTTCGAGGGACTAATGTCAAAATTTTCATTTTCTTGGTTCATCTAAAAAACAAAAATTTCATATAATTGTTAATGGACAATTTCAAATTGAATATTTACGAAAAGTATAATTTTAACAATTTGCGTGTATTTACTTTAAAATGACTGATGTCAAAATTTGTCGATGTTCTGGAAGGAATGAACCGGTCACCACCAGGTGTTTTGGGTTTGGCTGGTGTGTTGGATGCTGATCTTGAAGCTGAAACAAAATTAAAAATTATTACTGTAAATAGATGCATACAAATTTGCTCATTTCAAGCATAAAGCGGATTAAAAAAAATACAAATCAATAAATCGATTAATAAAATTGTTTTAAGACTCATTACAAAATTAATGTATTATTTTACTATACATACAAAGTAAAAGTATCATAGTTTTGGTTATTTCAAGTCAACAAATAAATAACTTTATCCTAAACAGTCATGTTTACATAATTGTTTTCAATATTATAAAGTATAAAATATTATTTTAATGTAGCACGTTTAATTATAAAATGTACGATTCTCAATGTCTAGCAAGTGTACTTAAAATTTCGTTTGAACGCTACTAGTCCATATTTTGAAATTTCTACATCAGGAACAACTAGAGAGAGGAGTTTGCTGTGTTAAAATATTGGTAAGGTTAATTTTTTTTTTTTAATGGGCTATATTTACATTATGTACAATGAAGAATTGCCTACGATCTTATTGTAAAAATATAAAACATTATTCATAATATGATTTTTAATTATTATAGAAATAAAAAGACACTCTACTGGAAGAATCTGCTCCAAAAATATTATTGAACTTTTCCAGGTAAGTGACCCAGAGTAATTATCAAACTGTAAGCAGAATTTCAAAGACTATATTTAACCAGTAAGCCATTTAGAAAAACCCATTATTTCAAAATATTTTTACAACAAAAAAAAGTCATGTTTTTTTCAACTACAAGTAACAAAAAATTATTTATTAAATAAAAATTGCGATACCTACGTTCACCCTTACATTTATAATAATATAATTTATCATGTCAGTAATTTCAACGGATTGGATATGCTAGTTTTTTAACACAGATATTATTTTTTTTTTTATTAACACACTACAATAATGATATTTTTATTTCTTACACAAAACAAATAACGTGAATGCTTACTTTCATTAATAACAGATAATGTTTTACATCTAAGATAAGAGAAATCCGGAGAATTCACATCAAGTTTTCGAGGTTTTAACTTATTTCTTTTAGAAAATCTATTCATTTTTTGTTTCAGTTCATTCATTTCACGAAGGTAAGTTAACATTCAAATTAAATTTTACAGTAATTAACAAAATTAATTGACTGAAAATTTATTTTTGTTGAAAAGATGATTATAGAATGCTGTGTATTTTTTAATGATAATAAAATCAACATGGATATTATTGATTTTAAAAAAATGTCACATACCAGGTGATTTTGATTTCTTTGGTGTTTTTGATGGCGTCTTCTTGCTGGAAATTAAGTCCATGCTTTCCTTAGACGCTCTCATGTTAGCACTGAACGAACTCGAGGTAGATAACTTGTTCCTGGACGTGTTAGCCGAACTAAAAATAATTAATTGATTATTTCATTACCCACTCATGGCAATAGTGGTATTTTAGCGTAGGATACAGACCTCGAGTTTGATTCAACGCTTTTCTTCATCCAACGGGGAGCCGGCCCACTGGTGATTGGGTCGTCCATCCTTACAGCACTTTTGAGATCGTTTACGAAGGCGAATTGAGACATTCTTGTTTGAATGTGAATTCGCCTGAACGGTAAAATTAAAATTAAGAAATTTAAAATTTAAAATGTAATGTACTCTACAACATGATGTTGCTAACGTTAATAAAATATACAAAACTGCATTAGCATTGCAATTTTAAATATTGTAAAAAACAATGTTAAAACGTTTCCTTACCTTGTGTGCTATAGAATAGTGTGTGGTTGACGTGCGTGTGGACACAAATCACAATAGGAACTGAAGTCGGATGGTTGGAAACAAATTTAAAAATGGAATCTTCAACAATAATAATAGCGAGGAATTCCGTCGAATATGGTGAACAATAAAATTGCAATAAAAAAACTCGGGTTTTTTCTGCTATAACATGATATAATAATGACAACTTGTAGATCACACACAATTCAGTATTCACTGTAATTCATACGGTGGAGTTTGGACTCTGGAGTCTGGACAAAATAGTATCCCGATTTCTGGTATAAGAATGCGTCCGTTTAATGTTTATTATTATTATATCGCCTATACCTGCTGTTGAAATCAAAATGACCGTTATTTTCCCTAACAACTGACTATGCATGCCGCTTGGATTTAATTGGCTTGGCAGCTGTTGGCTGGGACATTGGTATTCGATAACAACAGCAGCTATACCATTGGGTGTGTATACAGTGTGTACAAATGGCCAATGTAAAATAATCGTACTGTCTCTTATTTACTCGACCGAGACAGCTGTTCTTATTTCTTTAAAAATCATTGTAAGATACTCTATCTGTGCAAGGTACGGTAAAACTAATTTATACCGGTCGGTCAAATTCTGAAATCTAATCGAGGTAACAAGTAGAAATAATAATAATAATATAAAATACAATAAAATCAAATCATTTAAAAACACAATATATTATTACAATAATAAATAGTGTGTTATAAGTTGTTGTTATTATTATGGTTAGCAAGTACTTAGTTAACGAGTATTGACATTTAATTTTACCGTATCGATAAATATACAACTGTGCAATTAGCAAAAAAGATAAAAATTTACCTAAAGGCCATGTTTTTGATTTAAAAATACAAAATTTCTCTTGACTGGTTTTTGGTAAAATCGCTGTTAGACCTTTATAAGACAGACCATAAGTACACTAAAAATATTTTGAGGTTATGTACCATTTGATTCTTACTTCTTATCACGAATTAAACGGAATTTTGAAAACTGCTGACTGTCCCAGCTCGTCTGGTCATCCTTACTCGTCCCTATAATGTTATGTGACTTATAATATTATTTACCTAAATATTATATTAGGCGATAATAATAAATATATATATCCATCGACACTGATTTTAGGCGACGGTATATTATGTTATTAAGATATCATTATGGTATTTATTTAGTTCCCGTACTATATCACATCTTTTAAAAACATTTCTGTTCATTTACAGTGAGCTAACGAAGTGTGTTTGTTAGAATACATTTTACAAAAACGCCTACACAATAGTTTAAAACTATGAATATAATTTTCTCATAGATAATAATAATGACAGGGATAGGCTGTATTAAAACCCTTTGAGGCCGCCATCCCGAACGAAGGACAAGATAAAGGCTTGACAAATGAGACCTTGTTAGTGTAGAATGAAATAGCTACCAATTACTGAACCATTTGTGTTATTAATTTTTGCTTTCCTGTAAAAAATCATGACGCACAAATATGTGTACAGTAGCTATAACTACTAAATTACTTGAACAGCACAAGCGAGATAATATGTAGAATAGAAAGGATAGGGAAAGATAAGCACTCCCACCATGTGTAATGCATACCAATACGAACATTATTTCTTTTTTTTTAACAGTTTAAAAAACTAACGTTTAGTATCTCAGTTGATAATTTCAAATCACGCCTTGTACACCCCGAGACTACAAAAAATAATATTGCATACAATATTATTACAACCTAACCTAACTATAGTAGTCTCTTTTATTTATTATGGATGAAGGCCTATAAAAAAAACATCTTTGCAAACCCACTAATTTGTTTCAAACCACTGCCCGTGGACCGTGACTCATAAATATACTTACTTCTTCAAGTCAAAACTCAGTAAGAAATACCGAATATCACAAGTTAAAAATAAGTGTAGGCGTTTAGGTATATAATACCTATATTTATTATTTTGATCCTGGAAAGAAACCCCTAGCGCCCTTAGAGTCGGGGTGGAAACGGGGCGACGTGTAAATATAATAAAAAACTACCAAAATTAGTTTTAAATCCAGTTCTTCTATGACCGGGTTAATCTTTAAAAATATTCTGCCTTGATTTCTAGTAGACGGGATACACGTGAGAATAGCATACTTGGCCAGTATACAATTATTACATATATTACAACACTATTATTACTTGTTGTTTTCTTGAAATTATACGGCAACAGCATGCGTTTATGTTAAAAATTGCCCATAAATTATTTAGGAATATCACATATGTATTATATCAAGAACGTGGAGTAAAATATTTTAAAAGTTGCTTTTTTGGTTGGTGTTTGGAAAATCAGTTTCAACATTGTATTTACCTGGGTACATTTTTTTTGGGGGTCCTAATATAGTGGTTTTTTTTTACCTGATCAACTGACCAACTGCTTATTGGTTGGCGCCAATAATTTTTTAGATGTACAAAAATTTGAAACACGAATAATTGTGTTTTTATTCGGTCGTTCATTAGTGGTGGGTTGTTTAAATATCTAAGGTAAACTAGTAGGTAACCAAAGTAGGTAAGTAACGACGGTTAATTCCAATTAGTTATATGACGTTAAAACCACAACACCGGATTAATTCGTCGTTTAAGAGGCAAAACCTCCTATCTTTTTTTTCTCAACTTTACAGTAATGCAAACAAATCAGTTTCAATTACCATACTATATAACATTATTATAACCGCGTTATCAATTTATTATTCAATATTATTGCGCTTTCTGTTGACTTTATCGTAGTTCCGAACCCATTTCTCAATATTGATGCTTCAAAAAAACATTGACTGAAAAATATCTGTTATCAGTTTTGAAACTATAATACTTGATAAATTAATATTATTACACTAATGTTGCAATAGGTAATATATTATGATAATAACGAAACGCGTTTCGTTTGATTTTTTTTTTTTTAATCAAACTCCAGTTTTTTGAAAGATCCTTCTAATCCGTAATCGTCTGATTTATATTGATATTTTTCTGTTCTCTTGGTCTCGTCTACGCGACCAAATTTGTCATCAAACTCGAACCATTTTTCGTATTTCTTAAGCGTTTCAAACGTTGTTTCTGCACACAACACCAATCGTTAAGTTCGACGCGACAATGGCAATAAAATGCCATTAAATAGTACACACAATGTAGATGTCAATTAATACCTTTCAGTTGTTCTAGAGATGGCGATTTTCCACCCAAGTCGCTCGACAAGTTTTCTTGAGGAACGATTTTATAAAAGTTTTTCATTTCGCTCGACGAAAATACACTTATCTAAAATTCAAAAAATTTATATTAGAAAGGAACTCTCAGTACGGAACGATGGGCTCGTAGCATTACCCTTGAATACATGTCTTTGTGCATAAGCGGTTTCAAGAATATCAGCAGCTGACTAGCTAACGACGGGGCGTTTATCATGTGAATACCGATCAGTTGTATTGGCTGCACGAACTAAAAGTTCAACAAAACAACATGATATAATAATTATAATATCGTTGGCTTACAAGCGGCGATACACACGAAGTCGGTGACTAAGATTTGGCCCAAATGGGGGGTTTCACCGGTCAACACTTTAGACCACCAGAAAAACTTAATAAAAAAAAAACTACAACACCTTGATTTGATGTACCGTTCACTAATTGTAAGCCGACGATATTTTCCCCGTGTTTCCGATCGACTATACCTGAACGTATGCGATACATTTTCTCATTAGTTTTAAATCCATCAACTTGGTCAAATGGCCCATTGAAAATCCGGTCATGTCAATGACGAACCTCCATTCCGGGGCCAACGGGTCCTCGTTGACCGACATGTCGTACAAGCCCAACAAAAGTCTTATCGTGTTCAACGTGTTAAAGTGACTTGGATCCATGTCTCTTAGTCGCGAAAAACCCACTCTACATCCATTGGGCAACGTTGGTAATTTGTGGAAGTAACTAGAAATAATACCGCAATATAGCATCTGTACGCCTATTTTCATTAAATTGTTTAACATAATATAATAATTTAAAAAAAACTGAATTTTCAATATTACTACGTGTCGAAGGTTTGTTCGAGCTCTTTCATAGTTTTGTTGGCAAACAAGTCGGCCGAGTGTGTCCTGGTCGTGTAATAGGAATCGATCATTTTTTTAGTCTTTTCCAAATTGTTTTGGCAGTAGTTTAAAAATATCACCAGCTGTTTGTCTAGCGCAAAAAAAATGGAAAACAATTGTCAATTTACAAAAACTAATATTAGTGGCACGTGGATGTAAGCAATATGCATAATTTGCTTGTACCTACCTGATATTCTTGGCAAGTGTGGCTGTTTTGTCAGCCATCCTCGGATGATCTCAATGTCGCTGACACCGACTTTAGATACAAGTTCTTCGTCGTCGTTAAAGTAGTCTACGTACTGCGGCTCGAGTGCCATAGTTTATTGTTGAATTACAACGTGTTACTCAACTGTATGATAGCCGAAACACTTATGCTTGAACAATAACACGATACTGTCGTTTTTGTCACTAGGAACTTTCACGAGGCTCTACGAATTGTTATCTAATCTTTCGAGGTTTTAAGTAGGTTTTCTGTATAAAAATATAAGATTACTAAAATATTAATCACCGTAAAAACAAAACATTTCCATTGAAATGTTATTTCAATTGTTCCAATAGAAAAACTACCGATCTCGAGGGTTTGGTACTCCATTGATTCATGTATTGCCATGTGAGTTCTAACACCACCACTCAGCTCACTGGCACGGATATTGACTTGATTTTTACTTTATGTAATTTCCATGGAATCGTAATGCCAACGATTCAGTGTTAAAGTTAACGAGAAAAAGTTTCTAGGGGAAAGACATAATGATATATTTTATTGGCTTTTGACTGTACAGCTACAGCTGTTTCTGTATACATATTATACAAACTGCATTTCAATATTTTCAAGACAAGACAACATTGTCAAGTTAAAAATACTAAGGCAATGCGTTTATTTTTGCATTTTTTGTCCATACAAATTATACAACGGTTTAAAAAACATTATTGATTTTGTAGTCTGTGCTCTACAACCCGTCTAGTATAATAGTATCCATCTGTATGCATATTAATAAGTTTTAAAAAAATAATTTGCACTAGCTAAACAAAAAATAATATCAATATTTAGATATTATATTATGTTGTATTTTGGTAAAATACAAATACACATATACACAGGTGTACATATTATTATTACAATTGAGTACAAATGATCATCTAGTTATAGTTTCTATGTTAAATGTTATTGCATAGTACTAACATATTAATAAAAAATAATTGTTTTCCGTATTTAAGATAACACACTTTACAATGTTAGGTGTAATCTTCATTTATAGTTAAATGTTATTTGTTACTTAAATACGAATTACCGACATAATGTATTCAAAATGTATTGTTGGCATCATCTTCACAATGATGGCATATTGCGAACGTGATTTTAAACAAGTAAATTGTTTTTATGTGCACAACAATTTTTAATTAAAAGTAATAGCTGGTTGATGATTAAATAATATAATATAAGTATTAGGACTAACCTAAGGTATCATGCCTATAGCTAGTAGGCATTTAAAAATATGTAGCACCTACTCAGACTATTTACATTACTTCTTGAAAATTTCAAGTGAGACTAACAACTTTTGTCTTTTGACAATGTGTGAACATGTATACACACAACCTTAATGTTTCAAGGCAGTGTGACACCGATATTATACAATCAAATTGACTAATTTAAAAAAATAAAATTGTTTAGGGTTACTACTGGTAATGAGAACATGAAAATCCTGATTTTAACAATAAAAAGTTAAGCCTTGAAAATATGATAGAAAAAAAAACACTTGTTTTATCTACTATGCATGACTCATTATTATTAAAATAAATAACCAGATTGAAAGAAATATTTTTTTTTTATGAAACTATAGAAGTCATATAGTATAAAAATTAGTTAAATTATACAACAATTTTCAACAAAGCTGTCGTTTCTCATTTTAGCAGGAAGAACAGAACAAGAAGTTTATCGTCTTGGCTAATAAAATTCCATCGTTGGCAAATTATCCGGTAATATTTTCAGACAACGAGATAAATACATTTTTGTACAACATAGAACACGACCCTTCTTTTTATTTTCCCAATAATACGAGGATCGGGAAAAAAATTTCAGAACTAAGATGTGCATATTCGTTAGTATTTCTTCATGTGCTCTATTACATACAACATGCGGTTTTGCTAAACCAGATAAACGAACCGACAATGCAACTACACCGAGAATACGTGCACAGAATGTTGTCGGTTCTGATTTTTGTGAAAGCCCGAGTGCCTTTATGCATTTGGTTTGTATCCATTTCGTTAGATGCGATAAGTGGCAATCGACTTAACATAAACGAGTTGAATATTGTACACTTCATTTACTTAAACTACGATTATTGTGTTCTGTGCCAAAGACGAAACAACTTGCAGCACGTAAATGTCCCTACGGATTATCACAACCAAGAAGGTATGGCGTATTGTGTCGGCTATATTAAATCTGTTATCAACTATCTGAAGCTAACCAAAGACAGCGAAGTGAACGAACTGTTTATCTACGAAAACTCATCGAACATGTACGAGTTCGTTTGGGACGAGCACCACGACTACAGAAAGATCATTCCGCAGAGAAGATTATTTCCTTTTTACAACGACAGTATTGTCGAGCAAAGCTACGTCGCAGTGAAAAATTCTTGGAGTAAAAATTATTTCATAATACTGACATACGCCGACGCTATCAAACAAAATGCACTATTGGTAGTGTACTATTCGATAGTCCGTCATTTGTACTATGTAAAAAAAATGTGGTTTATCATATTTGCATGGCATACTTGTTTCGATTCGGATTCGGAAAATTGTAGAATTTTAATAGAGATCCGTGCGAATTTTTTAGCAATGCCGTTGAGTACGTTCAAAGAGATGGTCTGTTATATCGCCCACGAACACTTCTGTCATGTAAAAGATATTATTGCGTTTTTGAGTTCATACCGGAATGTGACTAAAGAGAGACTCGACGCTATGTTAACCTCGACGTTACGCCAGTACAATTACTATGGGAAAATGTACGGACTAGAAGCAGAATTAGTAGAATCTAGTCTAAGACAAGTGGTCGAAATTCCGAAAACGTGTAATTTAGAAACGATCCAAGAAGACTTGCGGAAAATATGTAACGATATGGACGAGTATTTTAAAGAATTAAAGGACGCCACATCGCCTTTGTATTGGCCAATTATACAAATGTTCTCTACTAGCAAAAGAAAAATTCCGTTTACAACATAAATATTGTACATAATATTTAAGAAAACGATATTTATGTATGGAACTTTGTAGTTAGCCTTTATATATCAATTGATGTAATATCGCACTTGCTTGAAAATACAATATTTCTATTAGGTAGATATATTTATGTAGTAGCAGCGTGTATGGCAGTTGACTTATAATATGGTCAGTGTTTTATTTCGGGAAGGGCTAGCCTTTGGTTGGCAAAATTCAATAAGTGACATACTAGGCACTATAATGTATACTTTTTGAAATTCCGGAAAAGCCTACATCCCACTCGGCCCCTAATCTAAATACGCCTTTGGTCAGCTGGTGTTTCTTAGCTTGACAGACAAAACCGAGCAAAGTTAAATACACAACGTTGTATTATTATGGCATTGCCGTATCACAAGTATTATAAGCTAACCTAACCTAACCGTATTATAAGTTGTAATTCATTATAGAGTTTTAATAATATTTAAATATATTTTTATGGCATCGACAATTTTTGTATAATATTACATAGTTATGTTGTTGTGACAAAATGCAGATGCTGGTAGTGCCTGACGCGTGCCAATGTTTATCATCGGGGGAGGATTCAACAAACAAACCGGCTCTCTATCGACTGACTATCGCATTGTAATAATATATGTTTAACATTTGTGTAGCGATAAGATTCCTTTAATATTTTAACTCGTTTTCCCATAAACTAAATAAGTTTCAGTTCGTTTCGCAGTTGCTCACGGAACACTTTTATTTTCTAGTATAATATCTAAAATTATTGTGTCAAATTGTAATTGCCTGATAATGTCTTATTATACAAAACCCTAGCTTATAATTAAAATAATAAGTGTTTCAAGTGCAAAAAAAAATCGGGTCGAAATGAAATTTCGACTACATTTTCTCGTACTGCTTTTTTCAATAATAACTAATACAACATCTGGCTTATATAGTAACCAGTAAGTATAATAGTAGATATAATATATTAGTACAGTAGATATAATATATTCTGCAGAACATGGTTGTATTCAGAGTTGGGCATTTTATTTACTCAAATAAAATGTTTTTTTAAATATAAATAAAATTTTCAAAATAATGCCCAACTCTGGTTGTATATACATATGTAGCTGTAAGTATATTACAACATGTCTCAAATTTATCTTTTAAAATCCAGGCCGCGCTTTCGTTCAGAAAATGGCCACTTGTTTATCGAAAGTGCTACAAACCACAACATTTCTTTGGTTACTAAAGGACAAGGCTATGTGAACATGAACGGCGAAAATTTACATCATGTAATATCACTGGTATGTATTACAAAATAAGTTGCTTAAAGATATGTTAACGGTGGTCGTGTGTATAATGGTTTATTTTTTAATTAGGCTAGAGAAGCTTGGGATACGGTAGAGTCGTTCCGGGCTAATGATTTACAAGTATTTGCAGAATCTCTCAAAAACCTAGCAGCCCTGTTAGAAGGACCAAGAAGTCTAACCAATCGGCTAACTTCACTGGAGATGCACTTTTTTAACAGTACTCCAACTACCGGCACGGCCAAAGGAGTGAGTACCGCTGCTGTTTATGTTGCTTTTTATACTTGATTCAATTACAACAATTTGTTGTACTGTTTGTTGACACAGAAAGAAGTAGGAAATCCCGTTAAATTTGGAATGAGAGTAAGTCAGTTTAATTTTGTTACAAAATAATAGTTTCAAGTTTGAATCGTAGTTAGTTGGATAATTGTTATTTACCGTCTATTTGAAGTTATCGAATTTGGAGAAAAAGGTTTCCAATCTTGTCAGTCTTTTATCTGTAAGCGAGTGTTTGAGCAATCCATGCCAAAACGGTGGCACTTGCTTGGATCAATACAACGGATTTCAGTGTAACTGTCCGCAAAACTGGCAGGTCAGTGTTTTTACTTTAGCTTTATTTTAATGTGTACGACAAATTTAACTCATCGTCACATTGCACAGGGGAGATTATGCGAGATAGATGTCGACGAATGTGTGCGTTTTATGCACACAGAGTTGGGGTGCCAAAACGGGGCAGAATGTAAGAACACCCCGGGCAGTTACGAATGTCAATGTGCTCCCAACTGGTACGGTTTGCACTGTACGAAAAGGAAAAACGACTGTAACATGGCAACGTCTAAAGAACTGTGCGGAAATGGCATCTGCATCAACCAAATTTCTTCTCTAGGCTACACTTGCATATGCGATCAAGTGAGTATTTTATGAACATAAAAAACACACCAAAGTGATAAGCAATAACGGCTAAAGGGTGAATATTGTGAACACCCCTCCAGTGTAAAGTGGCCCTAACTGTATAACACTTTTTCCAGGGATGGACAACCGACGGAAATAATCCGGCTTGCACCAAAGACGTGGACGAATGCAAAGAAAACAAACATACATGCTCAGTAAACCCACCGGTAGACTGTAAAAACACCAGGGGGTCGTTTACATGTGGAAATTGTCCTAGAGGTAGGTATGATAATGATATATACGACGGTCTAGAAATCAGACAATAATTTGACATTTTTTTGTTTGAAATTTATCTAAATAATTTTAATTTAAATGTACCCAACCGATGACAAAGCTAAATATATTAAAGGCATTATATATTATAATTATTTAAGAATAAAATATACAAAAACGATACATGACAATAGTATCCTATTTTAACAAGATGATAACTTATTGATTGCAAGAAAACGCTTAGATGCGAACAATCTATGAATGTTAAAAACCAATCTTAAACCATCGATAAAAAGCACTATAAGTATTAAATATGTTATTGCATTTTAAATACTATAATATTTAGTAGGTACACTTAATAAACAAAAATGTCGTGATATCCACATTTATATGCTATGATATAATTTTTAATAATAGTAAAACACAATTAACATAGAATTTAATACAATTATCATTGTAATTTAAGGTTATGAGGGTGATGGATTTGTGTGCACGGATAACAATGAATGTTTACAGAATAACGGCGGATGTAGTTTATTACCTAAAGTCCAATGCATCAATACAAGGGTAAACAAAAATGTCAATAATTTGTATTAACCTATAGAAAGACTCTTTTTTTTTAAATCAACAACGTACAGTGTATTATTATGTAATCCATTACAGTTTTAACTTAAACTATTTTTTTATTAAAATTATAACAACGCCTATAGCAATGAATAGTTGAAATAACAAGTAATTTTAGTTTAAATAAATAAAACATTTTTTTTTTTAAATTAAATCTGTTTTATTAGGAAGGTGTGATACGTTATAGCGTTTTTTTATTTTTATTTTCTAAGTAATAAAAACAAAATAATGAAACTATACTCTGCGCCATGAGAGAAGTAACCCGTTGCTCGACCGAAACGCGTCCGATTCCGCGCATCGCCACCGATAGGCCACACCCACGGTCGGCGGTGGCGGCGGAGCTGCATATATAGGGTGTATCATAACGTAAACTCGATACAGTGTGTCACAAGTCATAAGACTCACGTCTTACGTCTTTGAACCACGCGCTTGCTTTTACTGTTGAATTATTACATTATTATATTATTATTATAATACGTAAGACGTGAGTCTTAGGACATACTGTATCGAGTTTACGTTATGATACACCCTATATATGCAGCGCCGCCGCCACCGCCGACCGTGGGTGTGGCCTATCGGTGGCTATGCGCGGAATCGAACGCGTTTCGGTCGAGCAACGGGTTACTTCTCTCATGGTGCAGAGTGTATTAGACCTGTGACGTATTATTATGCTTTTTATGGAGATTACCTAAACATTTCGGATTAGAAGTACGGTATAATGATGTAATGACTTGATTTGAAAACGTTTAGGGATCATTTCGTTGCGAGCCATGTCCACCAGGATATAGTGGCGACGGGTTCAACTGTGTGTACGTCACTGGAGGGGTTTGTTCGATCAACAACGGAGGCTGCCACTACAACGCTTTGTGCACATGTATTGTTAAAAAATATCCGTTATTATTTTTTTCCTTAGACATTGCCTTAACAAGATCCTTACACAAACAAAAAAAATACTTTCAGCTTATGGTCAGACAATCCAATGCACGTGTCGTTTGGGTTATAGTGGAATTGGAGTTGGCGAAAACGGATGTGTTCCTACAGCCGTTTCGAATGTTTGCGCATCGAATCCGTGTGGTCCTCACGGAAATTGCGTTTCCAACTCGTCTAGTTTCACATGTGTCTGCAATCCAGGCTACACTGGTATAGCGTTATAGACTATATTATAAATGGTTTGTTCACTCTATTAGATCAATGGATCAAATTATTGGGTTTTAGGAAAGGTATGCGAAACACCGGTGATCGACTCGTGTGAAGACACTCCTTGTGTTTTTGGGACTTGCATTAGTGGATTCGAACCGGGAACTACCGTTTGTGTGTGTCAATCCGGATACTTTGGGCCTTCGTGTGAAAATCGTTTAGACAGTATGTAGTACTAATAGAAGCACCGAAAGCACTTTGTCTAAAATGTGTCACGTTTAAATGAAATGCAATCATCTTCTGTCTCGTTAAGGTTGTGGCGGTTATCTTATGGAGTCCAAGGGAGAAATCCGTTATCCCGAGACGAACAACACTGCTACCTATGAGAGCAATTTAAACTGCGCTTGGTCCATCGACGTGAACGACACTCAAGTGGTGAACATGTCTTTCGTGTGGATCGATGTCGAAAAATCGATTGACTGTCGTTTCGATTCGGTTGAGGTTTGTACATACATACATAGTTAGCCAACATAGTTTGTCGACACCAATGACAAGTACAGAGAACAATTATTACTAATGTTACAGATACTCAGCGGTGACGAAGACGATGGAAAATCATTGGGAAAGTTTTGCGGACAATCGTTGCCGGCCAATAACAGCATAATATCCGATTCGAATGTTGTGACCATACGTTTTCGTAGTGATCAATCCAAGAACTATAAAGGATTTCAGCTGAACTATACAACGACGCCACCGAGTATTTAACTCATTACCATATTATCTTATTATTTCTCAGGCATTTCAGTGGGTTTGCATTGGTATTTCAGACTGCGGCGGTGTAATCAATTTTGAAACGCACGGTACACTCAGTTCTCCCGGTTCTCCCGGGAAATACCCTCCAAACCGAAACTGCTATTGGACACTCAACGGTCCACCCGACAAGAGAATACAATTTCAATTTTTTTCTTTCCGATTAGAAAAACAACGTAAATGCTATGATTATTTGGAGGTACAAAGAAATTTTTTTTAAAATATTTATCACAATATATATTATACAACAAAAAAATGATTTTCAGATTAGAGACGGCATTTCTATGAACAGTCCTGTTATTGATAAACTGTGCAACACCACGGTGCCTCCGCCGATCTTAACTTCCAGTTCACACGCTCACTTGCACTTCCATACGGATTCAACTGGCCAAGATTATGGATTCCAAATGACATACAGTGCTATTGAAGGTTGGTACATGGTGATTAAATATAAGGCACTACTACAGTCGGTCGTTATCGGTAAATAGGTGTACCAGGATGCGGAGGTGTTCACACAAGCCCCTCGGGAACTATTTCGTCTCCGATGAACGTTTTGAGTGATAGCAAAATGTATTTGGACAATTTGAACTGCGAATGGCACATTAGAATGCCTTTGAAACAAAAGCTTAAATTAATGTTTCTAAAGAGTTTTGATATAGAATCGTCGAAAAACTGCACGTCCGATTATTTAGAAGTTAGTGTTTGAAACTGTTTGTAATTGGTTTTTTTTAACAAATAACAACTGCCATTTTGTCTTAAAGATTCACGATGGACCGACCATAAAATCACCATTGATCAGCCGCTATTGCGGATCAACCAAATCTGATCTTCCTATTTTTAGTAGCAGTAACGAAGTGACCATATTGTTTAAAACCGACGTTTCTTCTGCTGCTGAAGGATTCACCATTAAATACGAAACGAGTAAGGACTGTAACAGCTATCGGATTACATATAGGCTATATATGTACATTAAAATTATTATTGTAACATTTTCAGTATGCGGAGGCACATATACTGAAAGCACTGGCATAATTGAATCTCCGTTTTACCCTAATCCGTATCCGAATAATCGCGTTTGTAAATATCTCATTTCTCAGCCAGTGGGTAAAGCAATACGTCTTACAGTACTAAACATGGACATTGAAGACGTGACGTATCCAAACTGTGTATATGATTCACTCGAGGTATAAACAAGAATCTTGTTCTCTTCCAATTTTGTACGACGCTCGATTATTTTTTTTTTTTTTTTTTTTTTCACTAACAGATACGAGACGGCGATACGGAAAATTCCACCAGATTGGCGACATTATGTGGTTATACAGAAAAATTACCCAAACTACCCTTCATTTCGACTCATAATTTTATGTTACTCAAGTTCGTCACCGACAGCTCTAACAACAATAAAGGGTTTCGTGCAAATTATACTACTATTGACATCTGTACGTATACCTGGGAGAAACTTACAATAATATATCACCATAATCGTATTGCATCTTATTGGTGGTTTTCACTAACCGGATTCTAGCATGCGGCGGCATACTGAAAGAGTCTGCAGGCATCATACAGTCGCCCAAACATCCGGAAAAATATCTCCACAATCAATTTTGCAAATGGATCGTGTCGGTAAACGAAACTAATCAAATACAGATAACGTGGCTCTCGTTTTCATTAGAAAATCATAAATCATGCAACAACGATTATGTTGAAGTGTACGACAATAGTATAGAGGGTAATTCGTCGAAAATTGCTAGGTGGGGACTTGGTGGCGACTGCGGACTTTTCCCTGAGATATTGATGTATAAATTATGTTTAATCTGCTTTGCGACAGATATTGTGGAACCAAAGTGCCACCTGTGTTGACTTCAATGGGAAATCGTGTGACGGTTGTTTTCAAAACGGATCAATCGGTATCCCATGACGGGTTTATGTTGAGTTACATATCTCTCACCAAATCACAAGGTACTCGGCGGCGTTGGTAGTAAAGTAATTTTCTCGTTTTTAACACGCATTTCACGTTCTCTAGCATGCGGTGGAAACTTTTTCACTCCGGAAGGTTTCATTAAATCTCCAAACTATCCGGACGAATATCCAAACTCCAAAGATTGTAGCTGGGTGATAACCGTGCCGGTGACGAACCAGATCGAATTGAATTTTACATCTTTCATGCTAGAAGAAAGTATGGACTGCCGCTTTGATTACGTTGAAGTTCGGTCCGTGCAATTTGAAATTATTATTGTTATCATTGTTATCGACTTATTCTTGAATGATGTTTAAAACAGAAACGGAGGATACGCGTCGTCGCCTTTGATAGGGAAATTTTGCGGAAGCAAGATACTTTCATCTATATCGTCGATGGGCAATTCTCTGTTCATTAGATTTGTTTCTGATGGATCGCGTGCTAGGAAAGGATTTTTGATGCAATGGTATACATCTGCAAAAGGTTAGCCGCCTACTGTCTGTTCGAGATACAATAAACTTATAATCGAATACATGTATGCACGTATGTTTGAAGGTTGTGGCGGAACACTCAACTCGGGTATCGGACACATAGTATCGCCAAACTATCCGCTGCCTGTCCAGGAGACATTAGAATGTTTTTACAAGATAGCCGTGACACAAGGAAGTCAGATCAAACTCACTATAGTCGATCTTGAACTAACAACTGGCGCTTTTTCTGGATCTTTGTGCAAAGACGATTACCTCGAAGTAAGAACAGTATTCAGTAAACATACTTGAACAAGGCGTCAAGCTTGGTCCAATAGGGCATATGGTTCAATTCCTGCACTTCTGCAAAACAAAGTGGTCCACCTTATTCTACCTTAGGCTATATGCTCTTATTTTTTTTTTTTAAACGAAAGCAGATGCTATAAATATAATAAACATCCCACGAATATATTATACGTTGATTGGACTGTGAACCTACATTATATTCTAGTAGGTGTTAATAAATTTAATAAAATGATTATTTTTCAGTTTTTTGATGGTGCAAGTACAGCTAGCAAGTCTTTGGGTACTTTTTGCTCTGACGTCCATTCTTGGTTCGTTCATTCGTCCTCGAATGAGATGTACATTAAATTCAGAAGTAGTGGTTTATCGAAGGGCAGAGGGTTTTCATTGAAATATGCTACAGGTGTGTATGGCAAAGTTAAACAATTAAAATACCTACTTGAAATAAAATATATTACTCTCTCTTTTAGATTGTAACGTAACGTTAAAAGGCTACCAGGGCGCAATAGAAATAGCTAAATATGAAAATACTTTAACGGATAAATGTGCATGGACCGTTATGGCTCCCAAAGGTAATAAAATGAACATAACTTTTACTACGTTCAAAATGGCTAACAGCCGTATGCGAGCACTCATGTTCCACCGTTTTGGTCAAATGGATCCAGCTACTTCTTGTAATACATCTCAGTTAACCGTAAGTTTTTTTTATACACAACGTAGGAATGCGTAATATTTATTGTAATAATATATTTTTGTGTTATCCTAAGATATCCGAAGGAGTCAAACTAGACGAAGTGAACACAGTGCTCTGGAAATATTGTACGAGCGATCCACCTCTGACAATATCATCTACAACGAATATTGTGCGAGTAAATTATAATTTCCGAAGTAAATGGCCGTTTTTGGATAGATACGATAGTTTTCGATTAGAGTGGATAGTTGACGGATGTGGGGGAGTGCTTAATCAACCGGATGGAGAATTCACATCACCTGGCTATCCGGGAGTGTACCCTAGTAGTGTATCGTGTGAATGGAAAATTGTCGTCGATTATGGAAATACTATAGAAATAACTGTAGAAGATTTTTGGTTCGAATCGTCATTGTCTTGCAACTTTGATTTCTTAGCAGTAAGTAAAAAATTTGTCATTTGAACGACTCTTGGAACGATGCATGTTTTTTTTACATTTTTCAGATTTATAGCGGGGAAGATGATTCTGGCCCCGAATTAACTAGAATATGTCACAAAGAGTCCAATTCGGTAATTGTGACTACCGGTGGAAATACAGCGTTTGTAAAGTTTGTCTCGGACAACGGTATACAGAGGAAAGGGTTTAAAGCTTCATACAAAAATGTCGAATCAAGTAGGTGGAACTGTTTATTTTTTATAAATAAATTGATTACAATTATTTTTTTGAAATCGAGCAAAGTAGGTGAAAATGTAGGAGGATGCAATTTTTTTTTAAGAATCAAATTTAATTTCCAGATATTTTACCAACTGTACATTAATCGAATCTCGGTATTCGTTTAAAACAAAAATTTTTATCATTAATTTTATTTTTTTTGGTTTGATTTTAGAATGTGGAGGACTATTTACTGCGCCTCAGGGTGTTATTCACACAACCAACTACCCTCAAAACTATGACTCTAATAGCTCTTGCGTGTGGTACATCGAAGTGACAGAAACTCATTTAATCAATTTAACGTTTGTCGACTTTAGCACCCGTAGTAACCCGGTTTTAGGAAACGACAGGGTGCTTGTGTACGACGGTGACATTGAAGGTCAACTACTTTTGAACCATTCTGGAAACAGTATCCCGCCAACGATTATATCTTCGTCTAATAAGCTAGAAATATCTTTCAAAGTCGGAAAAGGCGAATTACGCGCTAAAGGATTTAAGGCTGTCTACAGAATAGTATGTACACGGCTTAATCGTACGCCAGCCTGATCGCTGTTGTGTGAACACAATGTATTGTTTGACATTTTCAAATTGTAATATTTTAGGCATGTGGCGCCAAACTAGTGACAAATGATTCAGGGATTATCACCAATCATCCGTCTTTTAATTCCGTGGAATCGTCAAACTGCGTATGGACAATTATATCGGGAATTCCTCAGTCAAAGGTCACGTTAACTTTTACTCAGATCGATGTTGGCCATTATACTGAAGATGTAGTTGGCAATCACACCGAGGACTGTTCTAATGTGTTGTTTTCATCGACTATTCGAGTTTTGGAAGGCCGTGATTCAGACGCGCCTGAAATTACAAAAATCTGCAAATCTAATCCATTCCCATCGCCTATCATAAGTAACGGACCCGCCATGCGAATTGAGTTTAATGAAACCTCAGGTGGATTTGATTCGTTTACTGCCAGTTATTCTGTACGGTCGATAGGTCAGTGTTTCAAGTATAATGAATTTGTTTTTTTTTATAAGAATGCACAATCAATTTGATGTGTTATTTGATCCGTCAATTCAGGATTCGACAATCAAAGCTCCGGTCGTGATCATAATATTGCTATTACTAATGTAGCCCGATAGCTATTATGTTTAAAATAAAAGTTGAAAATAATACAATATCGTTTAATGTTTATGTTATTAAATAGCTTGTGGTGGAACATTCGACACGATCAGAGGAACAATTTCTTCGCCCAATTACCCAAACGGGTATCCGAGAGATGCGGAATGTGTTTGGATATTAAAGTCGTCTGCTGGAAATCGCATGACGTTAAACTTTATTGACTTTCAATTAGAGTCTGATGAATTTTGTAACGTTGACTATGTAGAAATCAGAGAAGGAAATTCCGTGGGTCCACTTTTAGGCGTCTACTGTGGACCGAATATTCCGTCCACCGTAATGTCTGGTGAAACACTTTGGGTGAAATTCCGTTCCAGCAACGTTGGTTCTGCCAAAGGATTTACGGCTAATTTTAAATACGGTAAAAACAATAATGATTCATTCAATTTTAAGAAAAACTAGTAATATCCATCGTGTAACTTAGCATCGAATAACGAGTTGGGAGGACGGTCTGGCATGATTGCCAATCCGGGATATCCAAAAATGTTCAGAGGCAATGGTCATTATTCTTGGAGAATAACTGTCGACAATGGAAAACGAATACAATTAGTGTTTAAGGAAATGATATCTACGTCTACGGATCACTACATAGAAGTAATTACAACTCAGTCGTTATTTACACCGTATGATATTCTACTGGTTTTGTTTGTCTACTTAGATTTTCGATGGCTACGACGAAAATTCGGTGAATTTGTTGTCGAGTACAGGTCTAGTATATTCGGACTTTACAGAGCCAATGTTATCGAGCGACAACGTTGTGTACATCAAGTTCTACACGGACTCGCTCAGTGGATCTTACGCAGTAACACATTTTTTGATATCATGGATTCAATTGGATAAACCATCTGCCCAATTTTTGTTTCCCGAGTTTGACTACGAAACCGCGTGTAAGTATACAATTCAGATTGTTAGCTCAAAATGTTGATTATTAAAATTATTAATTATTTTTAGCGAACACATCCGAGATAGACTATTATTTATCACAGTCTACCAACTCCAGTGTGATAATTACAAGTCCCGGTTATCCCATTGGGTATGCGCCAAATCTGAATATAACCTGGACAATTCACACTGAACCAAGAAATCACATTGAAATTGATTTTATAAACGTTCAATTGTCCGCGAGTTCAAGAGCTTTCCTGTCTTGTTACAGGGATTATATACTTGTTAAAACGCGTATGTTATTTATGCCTTTACTATTAGTTATTTTTCACTACACATTCTATTTTTGACATGAATATGTACAAACCTCGAACATGTACCACCACGCGCTGTAGATATGTATTTATTGTTGTAAAAAACCTAACTGTTTTTATTAGTGGATCCAGATAATGGAAACATGAAATTTTTGGACAAAATATGCAAAAATAAAATTCCCGGATCAGATTCGACTTTGATTGGTAGTAATATAGTAAATTTATCATTCGTATCAGGCAAAACGAACGGTACTGGGTTTAAAGCAGAAGCAAAAATGAGTAAGAACTATTTAAATCTTATTACAACAAAAAAATGTGTTTATTTCAATTGATATGGTCAATAGATGAGCCCTATAACTGTTTGCAGTTTAGCCAATATTTACTTAGAATTTGAATAATTTTTTTATAGAATGTGGTGGTCATTTAAGGGACAGATCAGGTACACTTAATGTAACTGCGATATCCTCCTGTACTTGGAATATTACTGTGCGCCCTGGCAGACAAATCGCTCTGAAAATCACACATTTTAAAACAGCGACAGTTAGCACTCCTACTTGTTCAAATAGTTATGTTTTGGTGAGTTACAAACCGTGCAAAATTATAACGACTTCAAAATAAGTGACAGCTACATTGTAGTTTGTACATTTGTCTGTGGTTCACTTAATTATTTGAAATTTGTCCAGTTGAAAAATGGTATTTACGAAGATTCTCCTCTTCTCGGTAAAGGCAAGTATTGCGAAGAAACAGATGCAACTCTACCGTTGACAACTGACAACAAATTACAAGTTCAAATAAAAGCAGACATTCACGATGTAAGTGTTTATAGTGTAAAAGCATTACAGTTATATTTGACAAAAAAGCGAAGCTAGGCTAGCATTGTAGTATACTATAATGAACGGTTCGGTACGGTTAATTGAAATTGACAATTTACGCATGTTATTACTTTTAGGTCATTACAATAAGCTACCAAGAACATTCATTGAATTGCGGTAGCCAAATATCGTTGACGGACGCCGGTAATATCACTCAAATTACATCTCCTATGTACCCAAACATACCACCGGCACACACAGAATGCACTTGGATCGTAGTAGCACCTACAGGAGAGCGGATTTCCGCCACCGTCGAAGACATAGATATTAAATATGACGAAAAGTAAGTTGAAATATATATATCTTCGAGACGTCTGTAGGATTTATTAGCTTGCGATTTGGATTGGCAACACAAGCAATGAAGGGTCTGTTATTCTACTCTATTGCTTACACTGTTTCTTCAGGTGTCCACAAGAATATCTCGAGTTCAGAGACGGGGGTGCTCACATTTCGCCAGTGATCAATCGGTTGTGCCGAACGACGGGCATTCCTGATATCGAGACCACACAAAATTATCTGTACATCAAGTATTTCACCGATTTGAACGTGCCGAGCAACGGATTCAAATTAAATTTGTCCATAGGTATTGCGATTCGGCAGTAAAGTACAATGTTATTATAAAGCCGGTTGCTTGCTTTTTAAAATAATATATATTGGTTTTCTAATCATAAGCCAGGTGTGGTGGCACTCGTCGCGGTGCCAAAGGTGTCATCGCTTCGCCCCATTATCCGGGCTCGTACGATTCCAACATGGACTGTGAGTACCGAATTATAGTCAACAACCACTATAGGATTGTGCTGAGTTTCGTCACATTGTCTTTGAAAAGGCTAATACCAGATCACGGGGTGATCCACGCGGTAGCAGACAACGAAACGGTTGACGACACGTTGACCATATTTGACGTGGACCAGTTTAACGGCACAAGTACAACACTACACTATTCTAAGACTATACAAAAGTACACTGTTTTCTTTAAATTAAACGTACGAATAAAAATCGTTTATAGGAACGATGATAACCAAGGTTTTCGGATCCAACAGCCCGGCTTCGCCAATCAGATCGTCCGGTCAGGAATTAGTGATCAAATTCAAATCGGTTCCCAAGAGTGGACCGTTCACATCAAAGAGCAACAACGCCAAGTTCTTGTTGTCTTATGAAACCGAGTACAACGGTATGTACACATATGTTTGATGAACTCGGATCGGGTGAAATCAATAAATTCGTATTGACTACTCTGTTTAAATATTATGCGGTTTGACAGATTGTGCGAAAGACTATGAGATGGAAAGTGGCGAGATAGAAGGACCTCGTTTTGATAGCTTGCATTCGAATCGAATAGCCTGTGTGTACAGAATAATTGTGCCACAAGGCCGTCGGATTACGGTGGAACTTCTGCACGGACGATCGATCGCCGAACGCTGCGATACCTTGAAACTGTGGGGAAATTACAAAGAAAAGCTTTTCGTAATTACCGTTTTATATTTTACTTCATTTACTACAAAATATTCGACAGTGTAATAAAATAATAAATTGTGGTATAAATTGAAATATTTCAGTTTATGAGCTACGAAGCGTCAATGTACAGCGAAACTTGTATCGACTATACGTATAGCCTCAAGACGTTTAACTATGTCTACGAATCCACTTCCAACGTGATGGTTGTCGTGTACAGATTTTCGTATGGTAGCCAAATTGGTTTTCGACTGAAGTTCACGTCGGAAAAACCTTCAAGTAAGCTATTTAAAGGCTAAGTTTGTCCACTGGTTAAGTTCTAGACTATGACAGTTGTTTTTTTTTTCAGTATGTGGAGGATCTATAGACACTAGTGCTGGTGGACAATTACAACTGCCTCCTTCGAACCTGACAAGATTTTATTGCGCATGGGACTTTGTAAACAAAAACGGTACAGTAGTGATAAATGCGAATTTCAAAGTTACCGACAACGTCATGTCGTTTGATTACACCAACACTTTGGAAGCCAGTGACGGTAATTATACAATTTAACACAATTACAATTTTCAACGTGGATGTATAATATGTTCGTTTCGGCCCGTTTCCCACTCAGGCAACTTAATATATCTAAAAGACTACAAGCCAAGCGCTAATTCCAACGACAAGTTCATTATTCGAAGTCCGTTAGCATCAACTCATGTCATAGTAAGAGCCCGGCTATTGTTACAACCCACGCCGTGATAATTAATTTTAAAACGTTTACATTAAAATGTGTACACAGGTTAAAGGCAACACAAAATACATCAACTATACAGCCACTCTCAACTACACCGTAAGTAAATGTGGTGGAATGTTTGAAGGACAAAAATTGACCATAACAAGTCCGAATTACCCGCAAAACTTTGCACCCAACACGAATTGTGCTTGGTCGGTAAAACTTCCTGAAGGCCAAAACGTAAACGTAAGTATACATATATATATATAGACTATAAAGTCTAACTAAGTTTGTATATTGTATATGCATTGGAGACCTCAGAAGGAGCAGTTATCTATGCTATAGATTTTATATTACACACTAGAAGTGCCTTTGAAAAATATGTGTTGATAATATTGTTTTATTGTGTTTAGATTCGTTTCACCGATTTTGATTTGGCATCCTCGTGCGAATCGAATTTCTTAGCGTTCCACAACGGGCCTGACCCCGAAGCTCCGTTGTTGGGCAAATTCTGCGGTAATGTGTTGCCTGCTAACCTGGAGACGTTCTCGAATAATATCTGGGTGGTGTTTGCGTCCGGCGATCAAATTTCGAAAAAAGGGTTCAACGTAACGATCGAACCGAAAGTGCAAAGCGGTTGCGGCCAGTCGTATTTACTGGAAAAAGGAGAAATAACCAGCACAAATTTCCCGGGCTCCTATCCCGACAACGACGAATGCGAATGGACAATAAACGTGGAACCGGGCAACAGAATCAGTTTGACATTCGTCGACAGGTTCAACGTGGAGCAGAGCAAAAACTGCACCAAAGATTTCGTACAGGTTGGTCCCCGACGTTTGCACTGGACATCATCATTAATATAAAATATTTTATAATTTTTTGACATGAATATATGTCTTATGGTGGCTGCGAGTCAGTGTTATGTGTCACGGAGGAGGATTATGAAGGAATTATATTTTTATTTATTCGTATGGTTTGTCGTTACATGCAATATTTATAGTAATGATAATGCGATAACATGTAATAAAATGTGTAGTAAATATGAGTAACAGTAGTTAAATATTATTGTTAAGCAAACAGATTAAGATATTTGGTATCAACATAGAGTTTCTTTGGAGAGTGGCCCTTAAAGGGGTCGTTTAGAGATTATGTTGAGTTAGATTAAATTGAGTTACATGCACTGTTTGGCCGCCAAATTTGTTTAGGAAACCTAACCGGTTGGTTTAGAGTGTCATCTTGAGGTTGGGTTTTTTAAGAGTCTCCTCATATGGAGGGAGGCATTATGGAGGGATTATAGAGGTGACTTAATAGAGATAGTAGATTAGAGATAAGATATCAGCAATACTAGATTGCAGGAGATATCCATTTATTGATGTATCTGCATGAAGTGTGGATACTCTTTACTCTTTTTTATTAATGTATTTATCACACATTTCTAAAAATTGTATAATTATGAATGTCATAATACGTTTAGGTTTACGACCTCGTAGATGGAGACTGGGTACCTCTTGGAAATCGGTTATGTGGCAGACAAGTACCGCCGACGATAAACTCTACGGGGACCAAAATCAAAGTTCGTTTCCGTTCGGATAGCGAAATAACAGCAGAAGGATTTAAAGTAATAGCTATAAACAACGAGCGCAAAATATGTTAATTTGTTCAGTCATACCAAATCGTTATTATTATTGCTTAGGCTACATGGAAGAGTTTTTGCGGAGGTGTATTCACTGAGAGTACAGGAAAAATCGTTTCCCCGAACTTTCCAAAATTGTATCGTCACGGTTTAACGTGTAACTATACCATAATCGCTCCAAAAAAGAACATTCGTTTGGTTTTCAAATCGTTCAACATTGAAGGTTTGTGAACAACACCAAGAGTTTGATATACCGCACTAGCAATAAGATACAAAAATATATAAAGCTGTGTCTTAAACGCATACCTAGATGTTTTTATAACAAAACGTGATTTATTAAGTATTTAGATCATAGTAGTGACTTGAGAACAAACTGGGTAAATTAGTTTATGATAACTTCTTAAATAACAAATAAAGGGTCAATAAATAATCAAGAATTAGTTAACCGAACAGTTTACTTTTAAGTATGATAACGACCACCCTAATATACTTTACAGCTACAATATTTTTTACTTTTCCGTCTTGTAGACCACATAATATTGTATTAGTGTCATCGAATTTATTTTTAAGATGCCAATTGTCGTTATGACAATTTAACGATTTATGATAAACCGCATGAAAATATCAATGCGAAGTCATTGCATTTGATCGGGACATATTGCGGGAAAAATTCGCCAAATGTGCTAACTCTGAATAGTCATGTAATGCTATTGTTCAAGACGGATAGTTCGGGTACTTATTCAGGATTCGAAATTGAATACGACACAGAAGGTAAGACAAATGCATGGTTTTAATAATGCATATATATATATATATATATATATATATAATTGTATAACTTAAAAACGAAGCAGAAATATTGCCATTGTATGTAATCAGTTAAATGTTAATATTTTTAATAGGAAATTTTTTTTTTTTGGTAATTACAAAAAATATACTAATACAATTCAAACATTGTGCCGGACTTTTTTTAATATATACCCCGTTTGATGTGTAGGATGTGGAGGCGAAATGACTGAACCTGGATTGATAACATTTGTAAACAAGAACAATAATTTAGCAAGCTATGCTTATATGGTTAACTGTACGTGGACAATTCAAGCTCCGCCGGAACAGATAATCGAATTATTGTACGGTCAAGCGTGGCGTTAAGTACTTTGTATTATTATATTTTATGTACTGGTACTGTTTTCAGTTTCAATAAATTCCAAGTGGGCATGTCGAACGAAGGAGAAGGCTGCGACTCGGACTTGGTCACAGTTTATGACAGTCCCAAAATAAATTCCAATAAGACCTTAGGCGAATTTTGCGGAGATTTGAACGACATGTTACCCGTAGTTCGGTCCACGGCCAACTCGATGGTCGTTGAAGCTGTTAACGATGGTTCGGCGTACAACCTTGGGTTTTCCGGCGAAATTGTATTCACTTATGGTCGGTACACATCCATCATTTTTTATCTCAATTTTTATCCAGCCTAATGGTATCATCGTGTTAACATGTTGTAGGCGAAGCTAGTGGATGCGGTGGTACAATAAAGTTGGACCAAACGAATTATCAATCTGGGTACACACTGGAATCGCCCAAAAGGTTGAAAAGGACTTCGTTGGATTGCGGCTGGCTGGTTATAGTCAATTCATCGTACGCGGTGCAGATACAGATGGTCAAGTACACAGAGACCCCGAAATGTTCCACAAATTCTACAAGCTGCGGCTGTAGTTCTATACAGGTATAATTAACTTATTGTATACTTTAACGTTGCAACGATAACGCCGTCTATTGTTTTTTCATTTTTTCCCACACCTACATAAATATAGTTCTTAGACGGTCCGGGTCGGGCAAGTGCAAGTATTCATAAGTATTGCGCTGGAGAAGCCGACGTTGGTCCGCTGATCTCGGCTGGCAGTGAGGCTTATATACGAATGCAAGTTTTTAGCGACGACGTTGGCGTCGACTTTGAGTTGAAGATTAAACCGGTGACATGTAATTATTAAATATTATTGTTTTTTTTATTTTGGCATTTAATCACACCGTGGCTTTTTTACCCTCCAGCTGTATGCGGTCCACGTGCGTTAATAGCTTCGAACAAGACACAAGTGTTGGCTTCTCCCGGCTACCCAATGTCTTGTGATAACAACTTGAGATGCGTTTGGACAATAGGCGTGGACGAAATCTATCCAATATTGTCATTGCACTTCACGGAAATCGCGTTGCAACAAACCAAAGATTGCCAAACAGACTATTTAGAACTTCAATATTCAACCGAAGTAACTATTTATTATATTTTCAATGAATTTTTGTACCTACTTATATTGTAGTTAAACGCCAGAGTTTATATTTGATTTTTATTAAGAATTATCAATTCTAATTACTAGTCCAATAATAATTATTTGCTGTATTATTTGCTTCTTTTCGAGCAAATGATATTTTATTTGAATAGTCTTGTATTTAAACAAATAAATATATTATGGCCTTCACAAAGAGTGTATATATTTATAATCATTGTATTGAACTCACACTGAAGTATGTTCTAGACTGAAATAAATTGTTTGGTTTAGATGACGCCGTTTACGTTGCGGTTATGTCATGTAGATCATCAATTCGACTTCCACGTTAGACTTTGGGGGAAGCCTTTGACTTTGAAACTATTCACCGATGAACGAGAATCGTCCAGGAGATTCCGGTTGGAATATTCCAAAACCAGTAAGATATCATAATATGATCACTATATTTCTTAACTAATCTATTTTCATAAAAAAAATTGTACAGCAATTATACAATTATTGAATCTTTACATCGCATATTCGCATGACAAAATAATAATCATACCGTTTAGTAATTAGTAATTAAATTGTTTGTCGTTTTAGGATGCCAACCGAGTTACAACAACACTCAGGGCCGTGTAATGTTTGATATGAATAAAATATCTTCGGTTTCCGACGATTGTGTGTTCACCATAGACGTCGGTCAACCCAATTTGACGATTTCTGTATACTTTACTACGTTTGCCATAAACGACCCTTCGAATTTCCTTAAAGTAATATATTATCCATTCATACTCAATCTTTGCAACTTGTGTTTTACAGTAAACTCATATGGTTATAGGTTTACGATGGCTCGTCCACGTCGGCACCTTTGTTGGCAAAACTCACGGATTCTTCACAAGTGTACACACCTGTGCCCATATTTTCTTCGGCGTCGACTCTAACAATGCATTATAAGGTCTCGCGTGCAGACAGTGGAACGATGGACTTTAGTTACACGTCAACAGATCAAGGTATTTGAAACTGACAAATGTTTATGAACAGGGCCCGGAAGTTTATGCTCTAAAAATAACCGAAATCTGCATGCATTTATGCGCTACAAATATTAATAATGTATGTTCGCCTGTGTTTGTAATTGTAAAATATGCTGCAAATATGGAAAAATATGCACACATTTGAAACAAACCTCGAAACGTGTAACAATGCGTGAATTTCCGGTTCCTTATTATGAATATCTAACTATTGGGAAATAAATCGGTTACAGCTCACGTCAACTGAGAAGTTAACATTAAAACAGATATTATTATAACGCCCATTGATGATATTTTCCAATTATATTTGTGTATAGGCAAAGGATGTGGCGGTAGACTGTTCAACACAAAGGGTACAGTTACGAGCCCAATGTATCCGAAATTATACAGAAACGGCACCACTTGCCGATGGGATATAGCTGTACCTGCGCCACAGCCAATAGGAATAGCGTTTAGAGGTAAGTGAATAATATTCAGAAACTTATTAGAACAAGGGCACACACACACAAGGGTTGTAGAATATTAGCCCAGTATGCGTACCCGGAACGTACAGCAATAGGAGTAACAGTGTTACTTTATAAACCAGAGTACAGCTGTGATTAAAAAAAGTCTTGCAAAGTAAAATATATTCTAATGACTACTTTCGAGTGTAGTGATATGCTCAAAGTTTAAAGTATTGTTAAAAAAAATGTACATAGAAAAATAGTTTTTTGTGTCTCCTGGAAGTTTGAAATTTGACCCTTGTTCTAATAATATAAGCGGCTCAACTGCAACTGGACCGTACCGATAGCTGGTAAAATACATATAAACACAACGTCTTGGGGTGGTTTTTTTTCCCTTAAGTTTTTGATCTTGGACCGAAATCAATGTGCGACACCAACTTCGTGGACATGTACGACGTCGACCAAAACACCGGCAAAGAGTCGTTTGTGGCTAAATACTGCGGCGGGGTGAGTATAATAATATAAATGCACATGCCGATAATGAACAATAATAACAATAATTATTATGTTCTAATTTCTGTGTAAAAACTCTGTACACTTATTGTTTGCCAGGACACTCCGGCGTATCATGTAAGCAAAACGGGAGCTGTGTTTATTCGGTACACCACAAACATACACAACGTCGGGTCGGGTTGGATATTGAATTTTCAACTACATTCCGACTAATGAATATATTATATTATTATATTATATACTATGCCTCGAAAATACAATATAGCGTGCATATTATTAGTTAGACACAACGAATTGGTTCATTTTTTTTTTTCAATCACATATTCAAACTGCGATTCCTGTACATTCCTCTGATGAACTGCTCTTGGCCGAACCGCTGAGGCTTGCCGAAGAAACGTTTTCTTAGGTCGCTGTCGGCCGGAGGTTCGTAGTGTCCATAATCGTGGTAAGTGGTCGTGTAGAAAACATTGGCCGGATGTCGTTTGACGGTACTCGAACAATGGGAGTCTAAAAAGTATACAAACCGAATCTATGAAGCGCATCTACTGACAGTATGTTTGGTCTACAACATTTAAGTAAATCTAAGTAAGTAAACGTACTTGGATTGTGTTCGATCTGCACAGGTAAGTTTGATGATTTATCCAGACAGAAGATTGTTCGGTTTACTTCAACGTTGCCGACCTCCTCGCTCATTGTGAACACACTGACAACCGGAAGAAAGCAATATTGCACGAACTTATCGATCAAACTATTGCGAGGGTTACTACTATATTGCACGCGTGACATTATATTATATTATAATACATAAACAGTAGGCGGTAAATAGTTCAGTTATAGAAATAATAAAGACTGTTTTGTTGTTTGAAAAAAAAAAACAAAAAGCAATCATTCGCTTCAAACTCGCCTCTGTGCTCGTTTACACACTTTCTTGTAAACAAACTTAAATGTGCTACCCAATCTATTACAGCCTCAAGCCAAGATGACAAATCAAAAAAGCTAACTTGACAACTATGAAAATGCGTGTACCTAATATACGGATTATTTCATTTTTTTTTTTAATAAAGTAATTGCCATATTATAAAGTTTACAAAATAAAATTCATTTTCAAAATCAATATTGTTTATTAGGGCCAGTGAGTAAAGCAACGCAATTTTGAATAAATAAATTAGGAAAATAATTAGGCTTAAGCGGCTAAGCAATATGTTATAATTACTTAATAAGATAATATACTAATAAATGAATGTATAAGTAATAATAAGATATTAGAACTAGAATCTAGGCATGAAAAAATTACATGGAAATTAAAATAAAAGTGTAGGTCAAACGGTAGGTAATATAGAAAATATTTCTGACAAATGTACAGATATTTTTTTCAATGAGTAATTATCAAATGTCGATGGTTCTCATAGGTAATATTAATTAATGATATTACAAAACCTAGTAAATTGTATCATTCTGACCCTACGCGAATATATGTATTAAAATAATAAATTTAATTCTCCCACTACTAGCGCATAAATCAGAAAAGAAAATTCTAACAAATTTCTCCAATTTATTTTTCAATAATATTTTATATACGGTACAGTGTGCATCCACAGGTTAAATAAGCAAATTGCAAAATAACTGTATATATATATTTGTTGAGTTACAGGCGATCAATAGACTATTGATTAAAAAAAAAAATGTTATATTTTTGTAGTGAAACCTACATATAGACTATTATTATAATTATATAGTACATTCATAATATATTTGCATATATATTATTTTCGTTAATTGGATTGAGGTATGTGGGAGCCAAATCGAGTTTTTTTTATAAATGAATCGCTTTTTGTGAAAAGGGCATGTGTTAAATTTTTGGTTAAAATCGTTTTATTTTGGTTTTCTGTTCTTTGTGTCCATATGGACCATCATGTGTGTTAAAAACGGCACACGTGCGAATAATTATAGCAGAGATATAACATTTTTAATTTTTGTTAAAAGGACACAATAGTGTAGCACGAGTGCCCTTTTAACAAAAATATTCATTCATTTACATACTATTTATTTTTATCATTCTTACCTAGTGGTTATTTCGATTGATCTCACGGAACTAATCATCAAAAGTAGTGTACATCGAAAGTTTTTAGTGATAGAGGTAGATGAGAACAAGACTTTGGATTTTCAGTCATGGTGGTGTAAGTAACCAAAACAGCAGCAGACTAGCTTTGGTATAGGCTCATATTGCATGTATGACACAGCCGCCAAAGGTGTTTGTAAAGCAATGTCTTGCATCAACGGTTTAGTGGTAAACACATTCCACTTGGCCAACTCAACTCGAACTCCAATCCAACTTCCACAAAACAAAAGTATCGTTGCAGATTATTTCGAAGATGATGATACATCAATATACTTTTTTAATTTAAAGACATACCGAAAATTAAAATATTTGTAATTATTTATACATCATTTTCCTGATTTTTGTTAAAAGGGCACACGTAAAGCAACTTTCAACTAGTATAAACTTGAATTAAATATTTTTACAATGTCAAAATTTGGTACAAATACCGAGTACCGTGCATCTAATATACAATAAGTATTATATTAATAATATTTATATTAATTATTTAAAATTAAATATATATATATTAAAAAAACCTTTGGCCACGACATAAAATTAAGACAATACTATACTATATATTAACGTTGCTATCGTTTAAAGAAGTACGGTTTCAAAAAAACTAAGTAAACTAAGTTCTTTTTCAGATTCATTTTTTTTTTATTATAATAAATAAATATATATATATATATATGTAAGTATATCACCAGGCTGAAATCAAAATTCAGAAAATCCAAAAACTGGGGTAGGTACTTATACTTTATATACCTAAATAACAAATTTAATAGATATTTAAATTTCAAAAAAACAAAACACTTTAGTAGGAACACATCGTTTACGGTCCAGTGATGGAAGCGTTTTTATTTTTTATATCCGTGTAAATTACTGTAAAAACCGTCGGGGTTTTTCCAAGAACGCGAGAGCTTCTGGGGAATTCCCAATGCACATTTGGTTTTTTGCACAGCCATTTAATCGACTGTAATATTATAATTTATACATAATACTATGACGTAGGTACTTAGACGAGCAGTACACGTGGTGCAGCGCTAGCTATTCCGGTCAGAAAAACCAGTTTGTCGGTATATATATATATATATGTATATATATTATATATATGTATATATATATATATATATATATATATATATTACAAGGAAGCGGTAGCCGGAAGTCCGAGAACCGTACGTTTCTTATTCTACGGGTACCTAGCCTAAGACGATACGATATGGGGGAAAAACAACATAGATACTGTACTACTGCGCAGTTCCGATTAATTACATTATGATATAACGAGTACACAAATATAGATTATTGGTGTTTAGAACAACGCCACAGCCACAACTAAACACACATAATAGGTATAGATAATTGATCCGTATAGCCATCGGGTTTCAGTGTAGATGGCCACGCAGGATGACTCAGCCCTAGGTCAAGTTAATACGGGCCTAATGATTTTGTTAATTACACCACTCGTGTCTTGTCCTCCTGGTCGAGATCTCTCGGCTCGAGGGTACTTTTACGACTTGTAAACAACATGTACAATTTTTTTTGGTTTTCCTCGACTACCGCGTTCGTCCGGGTCAAGAAAGGGCGCAGGCGGCGCTAAGATTGTATTGTCCAAATAAGACTCGACCGCCTCCGCTTTAATTAGTGGCGTACACACGTCACGACAAGGTCTGTTTTCCCCATTTACTATACTCGTTTTTGGTGTTTGGCTTACCTATATTTTGTTTGTTGTAATGGTAGTTTTATTTCATTATTTTTAATACACCAGCAAACTGTACGTACCAGTATGCCGCCGCCTTTGGCTTTAATTAAACAAAATCATAATTTATAATACTTTTGTCAAAGTTAAAAAAAAAAAAATAATGTAATTCACTTCACACGATAAAATTAAATTTCTACTGAATTATCAGTTGGTTTTCATTTTTTTTTTTAGCAGTTATGACGTGAAACAACAAACTTAATGTTTTTTTAGTGTATCATTTAAATTATTATGTCCAACGCTGACCTTATTTCGCCAAGTATTTTCATTGAAGAAACTGAAATTAACGACCAAAACACACTTTCCGCACGACCTTGTAAACACTGACGCTGCAGTTATAACAGCTATATTACATGGTTTAGGTAGCATGTATATATATGTATATATATTTATTAAATTATAATGGCGTTAATTATTGGCATGCACCTTAATTAAACCTTAATAACGCGTTACAAAACGGACGGACAGTAATAGTGTACACAAAATGTGGTATCCAATTATTTTATTATTTATTTATTTTTTTTGCTCCTCGAGGTCAGACTGTTGTGTATAGAGTTGCCTAGTGCTATCCGGTACGGATTGAAAATTCCAATCTCGATATATTGATAAACGGTTCGCAATAATAAATTGGTAATTACCATAAAAAAAAAAAATAAAAAAGTGCATCAATTTTTCAAAAGTACTATGTTTTTGCAAAATAACAATTTTTTTTTTTGATTTACATTTTTTTTTTACTTTCACATTAAATAAATACACTTGTATAGTATGTTATGTTATGTATAAAAGTTAAAAAGATTAAAACACATAAAATCTTCAGCGGTTTTTACACCATTTTTAATAGCCATAAAAAAAAAAAAAGAAAAAAGGTAATGACTAAATTGCATATATAATATACATATATACATATATAGACGATTATATGTATATATATAAAAAAAAACACAAATATTTATATATTAATAATAATAAAGAAACAGCCGATTCAGAAAAGTACAATGGCCTCGCATTCTTAAAAATCTATATATCGTTCACACTAAGGCAGCATCGAGTCCTAAAGTATTTTTTTTTCCTTATTTTCCTTTACTATATTATATAATATAAATACACGAGACAAGTAAAATTAAAAAAAAAAAAATCGTTTAACATAACTTACGCAAAAAGGTAACATAAAAAAAAAAAAAAAAGACGCTCAGTAATTTATCTACAACGTATAAAATATAAAATATAATATGTATAATAATAATTATTAGCGTTTATTACAATAGTTAGTTATTATACAAAAACAAAACATACGGTAATATCATCGTACTGTTAATTACAATTTTTAATTTTTTTTTTTCAAATATATTTTTGTACTGTATTATTGTACTAAAAAAAAAAAAAAAATCCTTTAAAGCGACAAAACGATGAAAAAAAACTGAAAATCTGCGTTCCGCAATTTTAACGTAGCAAATTGTTTTTCTTTTTTTTGGGATTTTTTTTTATATAATTTATTATATCGTTAAATTATTGTTTCAAAACCGACGACAACGTTCGTGTATCGTTATAGAGAAAAGAAGAGTATAAAAAAAAAAAACAAGAACAAATTTCACCGGGACGGGCACCAATAACATTTTTTCCCCCAAATTTTATCGAAGAGAAACGATAAACAGGTGCGCCCACATTGAATAGAGGTAATATAATTAATATAAAATTGATAGAAGAAAAAAAAGTATCGACGGACCTAAAACCCATCCCCTAAAAAACGTTTCGAAACACGAAAAGAATATAAATAATAATAATTTTAATACCTGTTATTAATAATAATAGATAATCAAGCGTCGTCGCACACACGGTTTTTATATAATAATAATTATTATGAAAAAAAAAAAAAATACATATATATATATATATATATATAGGTTAATATATAACAAATATTGTTCGGTGGATGTGTGTAGAAAATTGATTTCTATTTTTTTTTTATTCTTAAACTAAAAAATTTGTCGAATTTCGGGAGAAGACATATAATATGTACATATTACTATAATATGCGAATTGACATTATAATATTATATATTGTAATATTATAGTAAAGTTGAAAGTTTAATTTTTGTTTTTTTTTTTTCGTTTGTTTTCAAACATTTCTTCCGAACGGATTTTTACATAAAATACTATATATTATATTTCTTTTTTTTTAATATAATATATACATATACATATATATATATTATTGTTTAACATTTATTATTATCATCTAATGTGCTTGCTTGTTTTTGCTGATTGAGTCGCCCGGGCTTTGTCCATTTCCAATATAGTTTAGGAACGTTTTTTTTTTTTTTTGTATAACTCGATTGTTTGTGTGTGTGTGTGGGTGGGGGGGCGGTTTTTCCCTAACTACTTGGTCTTGGCGTCTTCGGTCGTCTTGAAGCCGTTGTTGATGCCGTTCGAATAGTACACCACGTTGTCGTGCTCGTTGGACGAACACTTGCTGTAGTTGTTTGAGTTCTCGACTGGCTAATGAATGGCAAAAAAAAAACAAGCATAAGAAGTAGGTATAACCAGTAAGTCAATATAGTGAAATGGAAAAAAAAACCATCTCAACGGTTGGCTACAATTTGATGAAAACAAATAAGATCAGTTTGGTCGCGTGTGACGCTTTTTTTCTTCTTCTCGTGTACGTTTTTTATGACTCTGTTGACGTTTTTGCATAGTATTATTATTATTATTATGATTAGGTATTCCCCTTGTCGCATTCGCACAAGTTAAACGGGTATGGCAAACCGGAATTTTAAGTTGTTATAAGACACTTTTTTTTTTTGTTTCCCGGAAACCTAACCTGCATAAAGACTAATTTCAATAACCGGAGTTGTTTTTGCGATCCAAGCTCTTTGTTTATATATATGTAAAAAAAATATTGTATTTTCCATAAAAAAAAAAAAAAAAAATGACGAACAATCGGGCGTTTCGCGAAAAGGGTCGCGTTTAGTTATTATTTTAAATCAAACTTGCTAAGAAAAGAAGAAAAAAAAAACAGCAAAGTAGAGACAAAATCTTACTCGTCCGTCCAAACAAAATAAACAACTCTCTTCGCCTTACTCGGGGTGGTTTTTCCCGGGTTAGTGTTTCACGGAAAAGGATATTAAAGTGTTTTTCTCAATTGAAACATAATATGATGCAATATAGTAGTGTTTTCATTATAAGACGACATATTATTGTCACATATTGGCACATAATTATTTACATTTTTTTTTTTTTAACATTTATGCGACACACACGCTTAATTCCGGTTAGGTTGAGTTTAACCTAACCTAACCTAACCGAATACACGTCAGCACCGAGTGACGATACATCCGAGGGCACACGCATATTATTATGTAACACACGTAGTGTTAGCGATAAAATTCCCAAAGCAACTATAGACCACTACGATACAATAATAATTAATATATTCAACATACACGCGCCATCATCAACATCCGGGGTAACGTAGCGATTTTATCGGACATTTAAAAACCCATTAACGCGATTCCAAGACACTGTCGAGGTGTTTGTTTTGTTCGGATTAAGATTTCGCTAATTTTTCGCACACAGAATCGGCTTGGACACGATAAGGACACGACGATGAAACATATTAAACAAAATACCACCCAACTGTCGCTTAACCACCTCACCGGTGCGTTAACCTAGAGACGACTTATATTCGACTTAAAAGTTTATGATTTATATATATTCTCAAAGCGACTACTTGGCGACTGCCGTGACCTAACCTTGCCGAGCACGTAACGGAAAACAAATAGTCTTTTAAAAGGGGTGGGGGGGGGAAAGACAGATTTTTACAAATAACGGACTTAATGGAAAAGTCTATTGTCCCTGCCTTTCGAAAGGGAGAAAAAATCTCGTGCGAGTAATATATGTATTGTTTGCCGGGCGGAAACTCTGCAAGAGAAATACAATATAATACATATATGAAACGAAAAACCAATTGTGGTATAACACACACGACCCGGACGGCGGATAGAGTACATATTGACACAGACAAATATTACATAACCCACTGAACTTTAATTTTGTGTAAAAACTAGTTCAAGTTAATATAAAAAAAAAAAAAAGTTTCTCGAGTATAACATTGCATACAAATAAAAAAAACACGCTCATTCTAAAACCAATACTAATATGACCGACCTGTTAGCTTCGCGTCGGAAAAAGAAAAAGTAATCAAGTCCAGTTTAGAGTTATTTGATTAAAACTTAATTAAGTTAATGGAGAAGATGGAAGATGGAATTTTATACTAGACCAACTCAAACTAGTGCTGTACTTGCACTGATATTTATTTGAGAAGTTTAAAATAAAAGACAGTTGCTTTCGGGAAGCTACTTTTTCGGTAGAACTTACTCATCAGATAGACACCTTATATTATGTACTTAAGTGGCCAAACAAAAATAAGGCAAATACCAAAGACGAATGCCGTCGTCGTGCTACTCACCATGCAAGCTCCTTCGTTGGATGATCTCGGTTTGCCGTCCTTGGTGTACTTGGATTTGTAGAAGTCTGAGAACAGGAACAAGAACATGACGCCGTGCAGGCCGATCCAGATCATGAAGCTCTTCGGGTAGTTGCACTCGATGAACAACAGCTGGAACTGGTGGATGAAGATGCACACGAATTGCAGCTGTAGCAAGACACAAAAGAAAACGGAGACGGCAATGAGTTTAGTGCGGCGGCTTAGACGAGGGGAAGGACGGGGAGGGAGAGGTTCGACTACTCACCATCTGGAACGAGGTGAGGTACTTTTTCCACCAAATGTATTTTTGGTATTGTGGTCCCATCGCCGACACCATGTAGTAGAAGTACATGACTATGTGCACGAAAGTGTTGAGCAACGCGAAGAAAGTACTATGACCGCCTGCAAAAAAACACCGAGTATTAAGTAAAATACAAAGAAAGTATGAAAACACAAGAAACCGGTGCCGGTTTTCCGTGTGGGCAACAACACCATATGGGAATTGCTGCACTGCTCACCCGGTGCGAATTTCATTCCCATCCAAACGCTCATGGGCATGCATCCGTGGTGGATGACGTGCAAAGTGGACACCTGTTGGTTCTTTTTTCTCAGAATGAAGAACAACTGTAATTGTACGAAAAAAAAAAAATTATCAGAAATCGCAAGTCTTTGGCGGCGGCAATGGATTAGAAAATAAAATAAAAAATTCCTTCTAAAGCGTACACGAAAACCCGACCGCGGAGCCGATCGATATTTTCCACCTCGTTATCCTCTCAGTCATTTCTCTCCTTTCCCCCCCCCCCCGGTGCCGCTTCTCCTTTAGGGTCCGGCGTGTGCCCTTGGTAAGCACGTACGCATACACATATACGTCTGGCAATTTATTTCCAACGTCACACTTTTCTCCCGTCAAACGCCGCCGGAATCCCGTACGCGTGCATCCCATTCCCCGATCACAAACGGTATGACGCGGTTCATAATACAGGGTGTCTCAAAAAGAATGGTGGGGTTTCAAACACGGCTGTAGGTTGTAAAATATTGGACCTACAGCGCTCCGGTAGGGCTTGAATGAAAGAGGGAGTCGTCAAGTTTCGAATGACTGCGTTTGAAACCCCACCATTATTTTTGGGACACCCTGTATAATCATACTTATATAATTACAACCACAGCACTTTTGGCAAATTGGAAAATTTTCCCATTCCATTCCATAATATATAGTCTTTTGCCCACTACAGGTGCACAACAACTCGGTGTAAAATAGAGAGAGATGGTCAGATTGCGGGCCTAGGATATTTTATAAATACTGCGCTTACCGTGTCGAAGAATTCGGTGAACTTGGAAATGTAGTACCACCAACACGTGCGAGCCATCTACAACGGATTAATAATGTATTATTAAAATGTCTTTATAACCACACACAGTATTGAAAATAATAATAATCGAATAACTCACCCGCAAGGCCATCGGGCTGTTGGAGTAGTCGACAGGTTGGCATTTCAGACTGTACGAACCTCCCCATCCGCTCATCATGTACTGCAAAAACATTATTTTCAAATTAAATATGAATATATATTTTACACACAAACGCGCGCTTTGGGGTATTAAACGCATTAATCGTTATTATCATCATCATTATAATTATTATTATTATTATTATTGTTGGACCTATCTGTCGACGACGGCGACAGTTTTGAATTTGTCTGGCGTCACGCGCGCGGCCTTCTTTGTTTCAACTTCTCGTCCAAGCCACATATTATAATCTAAGTAATATACACACAGTCGTTTCTTATACTATTTGTGTATTATTATTATTATTCCCCAGAGTAAAAAACCGAGGGAAAACCTAGTCAAGGCCGGCCCAAGGCAAGACTAATCGAAATCGTTGAACCACCGCACACATTTTATCGTGCGTTTGTCCGGCGACAATAATGATAATAACACCAGTATTGTAATAATACAATTTACATTAAGTATAAATATTGTTATAAAATCACTAGGCGGTTGGCAAGCATAAAAAAAAAACAGAGATCTTCGATAACGAGCAAACGCATCGTGTGCCCCTTCCACCCTGTGAACGACAAATAGACTTTGACTACATACCGTGCATGGATTGATTGTAATTAAATAGTATTTAATGGTACTTTTATAGACTATATCGGCCAGCAACAGAGATAGGTCGGTCTGGTTTTCATTGTCAGACATCGGCGGGAAACAGCTCGAGAGAAGTTCATACTCTTAAAAACTCTCACTAGAATTCTGAGGTGACCTTACTCGAGGGCTATGCTATATGAATATTAAGGATTCTTGTCCAGGTTCCCGCAATCCCGCCAATGTCTACTAGATAGTCCGAGGCAAAAATTCCCCCCTCCCCCCCCCAAAAACGGTTGCTCCTACAATAATTCAATGACAATATTATACACGAAGACACACATAGACTACGTGTATTTGGGTCACGCGCGTGCGATTGATTACTAATCACTATAATGTGCGAATAATGCATCTAATATAAAACACAACAATGTCAGACACCGGTCGCCAACCGGTATGCCTTTATACACAATGCCCAAGGTATAGGCATAGCCATAATAATGTTATATACCTATAATGATTATTGTGGAGAAGAGGAGTAGGGCCGAGCAAATACGCTCCAGCAAACTCTGCCAAATACCCGACGATTTCACGCATGTTAGTCACTATATTGTTGCATCCCAATATTGGCTATTGTCTCTCGATTAGAGTATTGTTTAGACGATTACGTTGTTGAACACATTATAATAATACTGTAATATGCAGGTACGAGTGCGCTAACCAAACTGTTTTGCGCACTGGACGGTTCTATTTTTTAAATCCGGAAAAAGTTTAGTTAACTTGAATAAAAAAATATTAGATAACTCTGTGTTTCAGCCAACTTTATATCTACACCTAAGCACGATATTGTAAGGAAGTGTGGCGTGGAAAAAAAAAAAAGAGTGAAAATTGTCCAGAAAACACTTTAACCGTCCAACACCGTCGTTGGCGTTCAATTTTGGTTTTACTGTGTAAGTATGCAAGTGTAGACTTGCCAACAACATCTGTTTGCATTGCGTAACGTCACGAAGGCCGATATATACGTCGTCACTTTCTTGCGATCAACTCGGCAACGGGTTGGGGAAAAAAACCTCTAAGCGACGAAAGATGAATTTAACATTTTGATTCGCAAGCCAATAATGTGTGAAAGTATTTTAATCGTACGCGTAACAAATGATCATATAGGTAATATGCGAATATTATCGTATCTGCTGGATATTTCCCAAAAACGACCAAAAGGTCATTCCAAATTAAAAACGTACTCCCGCTGAACATACTACAACTTTTGTACAGGTATGATTTATTAAAATATCCATGTTAAATGACGATTTATTAATACATTTAAATTTAAAATTATATACTCGTGCATTATTATGTAAACAGCCGTTAAATGGAACCAAAAAAATAAAAAAAGGAAATTAAATCAGAAATAAATTCGACTGATCAATCTAAAATAACATCGGCCAATGTCATATCGGTAAATTTATTGTTTTTGTTTCCTTTGCTTCGCTGAAAAAGGTTAAGTAATTTATCATTAGTGGATTAACCCTACTGTTGTTATATTTTTTTTTTTTTACACAATAAACCATTACATTGAATTTACCAAAAACAATATGTAATTTTTTATTTTTGTCCAACTCGCGATTGACCTAAATTATTTAACTACGACAATTTTGCCGTCTACAGCAGCACACAGTATTGATTTAATTTGGCCTCACGACAAAAGCTTGAATATTAGATGATCTATTCAAAAGCTAACCGAACTTTTCTACACAAAGTCAGTTTGTACACGTCACAGTAGTCAAATTTTAACGCTTTAAAAAAAAATATAGTAACCGGAGTTCCGGTAGTAACATTAGTTGTACATTTTGCAATAACAGCATTTATAAAAATAATATAATCACAGTACAGTGAGCGGCTATGTGTAATTGCTAGAAGAAGGACGACGCTTGGGAGTTAAAAAAAGTAAACAACAATTAAATAATAACATTAACAATAATTAAAAAAAGAGATTTAAGTCGGATAAAAATAGAAGTTAAAACGCGTTGGTAGTTTGATTCTTGCATGTTGTCTTGGCCGACCAAAACTGTACCAACGTTATTGACGTTGTGTTCAATCGCAAACATAATATTATAAAATACTGTTATTATGGAAAATATAAATAATATATACATAAACGTGTCTCCCGTTGTTTTCATAAATGTTTTTGTTCATCTAACGATAATATATTATGTGTAGTGGATATTATAATTATAATGTTTCGATTTGGATAATGTGCGCGTACACGACGTTTAACCTTGTCGGGAAACCGGAAAGCACACTTGGACCGGAGAAAAACTATATAACCCGTGTAAAATATAATAAAAATAATACAATAATGACCGAGCTAAACGTGAGAATCTATACTAGTCATGTAATGTTGATGCTAAGTTGTGCCATATCATGTTATCAACACACTAACGACGTTCTAGAGAGAGAGAGAGACTGGTTTCGCCTCGACACATCTCGGTCGGGTATAATAATATGATAAAGAACCAGTAAGTCAAGAAGCTTAAGTTTTCTGGATTTATAATCGAATTTTAATTACTGTTTAAAATATTATGAACAAAGTTAGGGAAACGCTTAAAGTATTTTTTTTTTTTTTTAACAATTCTTAAACCCGGATTAAAGAAAAACACACAAGTTTGCAAGTGCTGAAATTAAAATGAAAAAAACTCAAAACAGGTTGGGAAAACGGAAATTGATTCAAGGTGATTTTGTAAGTCAGAACGATTCTAGATATTCCTATTTTGTCGCTGCGTAAATTATAAAAATATGTTCACTTAAGTCCGGACGACAAAATTCAAGTTAAAAGATAGAAACAAGTTTCTACAAGTGTACGGATAATGGTCCGAGTGTCCTCGTCGATAGTGCGCAATATTGACAACAAAAAACTAAGTATAATAACAATAACAAAAGTGCAAGTAGTGTCACGCTGAGGTCAGGTCACTGCCGCTTATTTAAGTCTATAAAATAAACCCCATGGGTGGCTTTTTTTTTTTTACTGTTCATTACCTCACTGCAGTCGACCAGTTAGCGGCAAAAGAGAGTATCAAAAACCAAAATTCCGTAATTCCCATCAACTAATGAATACAGTGAGTTATACGAATTAAGAACTGGATTTTTAATTGAATTTTTCAAGCCCGCAAATGTCTCCTATAGTCCTTGTTGAAAATCTCATAAAATAAAATATCCAAGAACCCAAAGATGCCAATCGATAACATTCCCTGTTTCAAATTTAAGATGGATGCGTTGGCTTTGTTGCAAACAGATCAAAACTAAAAGACTTTTCAAAAAAAAAAAAAAAATACCCAAAACTTTTTCTTCTTCCTCCCCTTTGCCGGCATATTTTCATTACCCATTCCACGTGCCTCTGTATCTCTGTATCCATCCGTTTGACGAGAGCTTACAAGTGAAAGATGAGACAGGTTATCCTTCTTCGTTTCCGAATTATACACACACAAGACTACTTTTTCTGTTCACCTATCTGTACCTCTGCCTCTATACTAGGGTCCTAATCTTTCTTAGCAACTTAACTAGTTAATTTTTTAAATTTATTTCTATTCTTTCGAAATTCGTTTTGCTTTTCCTGAAGTCTTTTTATTCAATGACGCCTTCTCGTCTTTTACAACTGATCAGCTTCCAACTACTTTTGTAGTTTTTTCCTTAATGCTTAATTTTGAGAACGCTAGTTGCTTTTGTTTCAAAAACTCACCAGAGCCACGCGGTAATTAGGGGAAAGGTTTGTTTGGGCATGACCCATTTACCCCACCACTCGGTAAGAAAACTGACCCGCTGAGAGCCGAGTGTGTGTGTTTTGTGAATGGTTATCATGGAGACACGTCGGATAACACTCCAGCCGAATTCTTTTGGTTTTTTTTTAACGGCGACAACAATATCGGTATCGTACACTTTCGGTTTTCATAAGAGATGAGCGATCAACCGCAACGGCGCTCAAAGGTCACGGTCGTTCTCCCCAAGACAATAACACTGTATATAAACCCTAACCAGACGATGATTTAATTTTGATTAAACGGTCCAACACCGCTGAAGTAAGTATACATACAATGGTGGAAGACGGGGCGGCAGTACCGAATAGTTGTTAAGCTCATAAATAATACAATTTTAGTCGTTATAATAACTGGTACTGGTATAGAAAAACTTGCCATCCGTTTCATAGCCGTCATAATGTTTATTTTTTTGGATATGCATAAATACACCCATACTTTTTGGGTATAGATTTTATTTTTTAGCCACTTAGATTTCAGGCGGATAGAGTGGGAGACAGGTTTCAAGGAGTTTCGAAAAGAGGAAATCGAACGCGGAAACGCCATAACGTGCGGCGGCGTTCTTCGTGTGTATTATTATATCGTTCTTAGAATATTGATCATGCGATGATGGCGACGACGACGACGATGACGATAAAAAATAATATTACCGTGTTGTGCCAATAACGAATTCCAGTCAGACGATTTTGAGTCTGTTTCGCATATTGCCCCTCCCCTCCCCCCCTTCAAACGAGCGCTGCAAAATGACTATATCGGGGTATTGTGGGCTGCACACGTGACAAATAATAATAATGATGTAATACAATATATAATTATCATCGTACACCGATGGTAATTATAACATTGCCGTGACGATAAATTCACCGGTTGCGCTCACCTCGTAGAATATCCAAGCGCTGAACGCGGTCTGTATGGCGTTGTACACTATGAGGATTTTTCTCATCTGAAACGGTTTTCGGTTCTCCATCAGTCTGGGTCCGAGCACCTTGGCGAAGTACGCGTAAAACAGGCATATGAACAGCGTCGGGAACGGGCTGTATAACATGGGCCAGCCGTTCACTCTGGGGTCTGGCAACAAAACACACTCATAAGTAATGAATTTAAAAACACAGTTGCGACATAGTATAGTGATAATATAATTTTTATATTACAAATATACAATATTATCTGGCACACGTTAAATTAGGTGGGGGGGGGAGGCTCACTCAGTCCCCTTACTTTTGACCCAGCTTAAAAAGCTGACGCTTCGGAATTGGTAAAGCCAGTAGTTGGATACCGAACATTTGCCAGAATTAAACTGAACAAAAAAAATCCTACCCCGTAATTTTACTAACTCTGTCAATGACTTTTTGCCACTTTCCAATCCTGCGTAGGTCCAAAGTTTATTTTCATTACTTTAAAATGCAAACGAACATTTTTCTTCAATTGCGGTTCACAAAACCGTAACTCTACTACTGAAACGCATTTATCTGTATTATCTGCTCATGTGCTGTAGAGGGGACTGAACCATTAACTATAAAACTGTCTCGCTTAACTCCTCGGCGACTAATCATTCTACTTTCGATTTAAACGGCCAAGTCCTGATGCGAGTACATCTCGTTACCACTAGACAACTTTAAGTGTTTTTCTTGTGGTTATATTTTAGTATCTACTCGTAGTGCTGTTAAACAGCAGTTAACATGTTAAGCCATTGCTTTCCAACGGATACCGTCGACTTAATAATAATAATATTAAAATATATAATATCATATTATTTTTTTTTCATGTCGATTTGAACGATATTCTGACAGTTAACGCAAAACACACATTACATTTTGCAGGGCCGCACACACATGGCATCGATTTTAACCGTTGGCCAACGTTTACAGAAAATGGAAATAGATTTAAAAAGATATCATATTATACTGTCTGATTGATGTATGCTATAATATTACTACGTATTGACACAATGCATTACATATAAATATTACATTGCATGTACAACGTGCCCCCCCCCACCAATAGTTTTTAAATAGACATTGACTTGTTAAGTTCGAAGGCACGAACCCTGGCAGCGTCATCACTTATTATGATTATTATTAATATTTAATATTGTTTTACCTACTTGACTTGGCGTAGGTGTGCAAGTGGTAACCCGGCTAATTTTTTTTTTTTTGTTTAAGCCCAACAAACGTTGTCAAAAAAATTGTTTTTTTTAGAGTTAATGAATACACGACAAACCTATTTGGGTTGGGCCTGTTATTTTTCTATAAAAAAAACTATTACGGCCAACTCTGCAGAGTCCCGTTTTTATGTATCAATAACACCTCTCTCTCGATAGTATTATTCGTGTGCACATTGTGACGTATGTCACACTGATTAAAAACGTCAGAGTAGACGTTGAAACATAAATAAACATTTTCATTAATGTAATCGAACGTTTCGGAGGGAATACATTAAACAAATTATTTCTTCTAGAGTTCACAAGTTTTTTTTTTTTTAATTAACAACCTAATCGTTAACATAAACCGAGAGCTTTACTGCATAATGTGTTTTTACAGGAAGGCAAACTAATTGTTTATGCAATTATATTAAGTACAGGCGACAGAGGCGGCGCGCGGTGTCAACTTTGTACTTAACTTATTTTTCACACACAAAGACAAACACGAAGGTTCAAATTCGTGACACTCGAAAGTTCCGGTTATTTATTAAGTATGATCGGTTAAAAAAAAAAAATAATACAAATTCAAACAAGTTACACGTCATAGGAAAAAACGTAAATTACAACATGGCATACATAATTAACACAACCGTCGCTTTTACAAATAATTTCAACTAGATCGGATATTATCTGGTGAGCAATGAAATAGCGATAAACATTAATGTAATAATTAGGCTAAAAATATTATATTTCCTGTCAACTATAAGATTACACCTAGACCTGGAGGTACTACAACGTCCATTTTAAATAAGTTTGATTTACCCGGTCTATTGAAATTAAAATAATTAAACCTAAATTAATTAAAGTAATCAACTAGTCGAGTGGAAATAGTAGATGGGGTGGCAATTAAGAGCCGGAAAAGTGACTGAACAATGCTTACACCGTTTATAAATGACTCGTTAAATAAAAATCTAAATAACAAGTGAACGAAATAACGTATAGTGACTATATATAAAACTGAGAAAAGTGATTAACTACCATTCCTGTATATTGTGTAGAGTATTTAACACAAATCGTATAGCTCTTGCGTACACCTTGGGTTCTTGCGACAAACTAGCATGCTCTATTATTATTATTATTATCATTATAAAAATTCGCGTAGTGTACTTGAACCTAAGACGAATACAATGGGCGTGCTATTTGTCAATTGATTAATGGCGGCAGAAGTAGTGTTTTCTCTTAATCTCGCCTTACATAAATGTAACGATCGCTCGACCGAAACGTTTTGATAAACAACGCGAGCTGGCTATTAAGAGAATTAAGTAAAAACAGAAATAAAACCGAAACTTAAAAGCTTTACCACGTTATTATCCACAACAATGTTTATCAATCACTCGGCCCCGCCGCAGCTTTACCTCGACTTTTATAAAGCAAAGCGACTACAAACCGATTGTAACGGATTGCTTTTAACCACGTCGAATACAAACAAATACCTAGCTATTAGATACAGAGTTGACAAAAAAAAAACCCAAAGAAACCAGCAGGTTATTTTGGTTTAAACCCAGCAAGACGTGTTATTGTCACTTAGCCAAAATTATAAGCTTTATAGCATTTAAGTTTACCCAAAATCCTAACTGACTTGGGCTTTTTTATGTAAAAAAAAATCCAGGTTTTCTCCAAAACGAAACAATGATTTTGTGAATTAATTAATACAATATTTGTTTCAATCAATCAAATACTTTTTTTTTAAACGGCCTAGCTTAACAATATAAGTGCAATACAATACACAATTTTGAACAAAAAACTAAAACCGAAAATATAGCTATCTATAGCGTAAATATTATTTCGCGTCCGATTAAGGGTTGAAAGAAATAGTTTTCAAAATTAGCGCTGTCAAGCATAAGTTCTAGTTATTTCTGATTTGTATACATAACTGTTTACGCATTTTGAACGCACTACATGCACGGCAAGAAAAAACAGAAAAAAAATGTACAAAGCAACAAACAATACCGTCGCGTTTAAGTTATTCAAAGTCCGTACAGTCGAACTAGGTACGTCATACCGCGACATCAAAAGTGCATAACAATGTTGCCGGTTGACATATTATATTTACAGCACAGTATAGAAGACACTGCAAACAATCTGTTTGATTCACTCAGACCGGATCATCATTAATAAAACTTGCGACCGACCTGAGCTTGTCGGCCCCCATGGCCGTGTATCGATCCGGTCGTCAAAAACCAAGACTTTATATAAATAACATATAATAATAACAAGAACCGGCGAAATATGATCTCCCTCCTCCTCTGTCAGTATTTTTATATCTAAGTATATATATATATATATAATTGGACTTTTCTGTATACATTAAACGACTACTCCGGGTGTATCGTCACCGTTAATGCTTTTGGCAAGCCATCACAAAGAAAACAAGCCGCCCAAATAATGTCGTTCGGCAAAGCCCATTATATTGTATTTTAAACATTGCATTATATCTTACCGGGCGGTATCGAAGGAAACGACGAATTGCTTGGCAAAACCGTATTACCGACTTGAAACGACTTAGCGCGAAGACCTTGCGGTCATTTCGATAAACGTAGTCGTCCGTGCAGATAGACTTTAATATGTATTGTACAATATTGCCGGTCAGGTCTAATAATCCAATATACATAATAGTAATAGGCAATGGCCTCGGCAAGAGACGACCGAATTTGCGAATTCCACCGTCGTCGATCAATAACAAACGTCATTGACAATAGAAGCGGCGACATATTACTGCGGTATAGTATATTATATTATACACATGATATTAGAAACACTAATTTAATAACAGGAACATGTTATTATTTTAATATTATGTATATTGAAAGACGAACGAGCGCGGTTTTCATTTTTATTATCGGTTCGCTATTATAATAACAATAACAGTTTACACCTTTAAATGAACAACGCTAAAATTTCGCAACTGTGCCTTTCATAATCAAGCCATTTAACTAGACGCCATATGCGAAGTAGACATTGTTTAAATTCATCCTTAATTATGTTTAGGAATCCGTTTTTAATTGAAAACAGCGGAGAACGCTTGATAAGAACTTGCTCTCATCTATCAAACTTATTTAACCACAGTGGACCATACAGGTAACTAGATAACAACGGAATAGACGAATAATAATCTAAGTTTCAACTTCTATGAAAACTAATTGAATTAAAACCACCGTAATTCGATTTCAATACCGGTAAGCCGATATTTTATGCCCTTAATATTTGTATAGTAATATAATATTTTTCAGGCGATGAAATAACATACAATACATCGTTTAAATCAAAACCGGTAGTATAAAATGAATTGAATACCTAAAGAATGTATAAATTGAAAACTATCGATTTGATAAATATTTTACACGTCATTACGAATAATTGGTCATCCACATACAATAACAATAATTATTAATGTCGCGTTAATATTAATAACATATTATAGAGGCTCGATAAGTTGATATTTTACTGTGTATTTTTTAACTGTGGTTTTTCGTCGACCGCATCATTTAACCACTATAGTATCTAGAATTCGCAAAACGACATAGACATAAAACTAGAATGTTAACTTGTGATAAACCGTGAAGTCATCACACCCACTATTTTTAACAAGACAACAATAGTATGTTGTCTAATAACAATAAATTTGTTGTTTTTAGAATTTTATAATCGAAGTAGATTTTTTTAGTAGAATTAAAGTAAATTTTACAAACATTATTAATAAATAAAATATCAGCTACAATGTGTGATGCAGAATTATGTTTTTTTTTTTTAATGTTTTTATTATAATATACGTACATAGATAATTATTGATAAATATATGAGGAAATAGAATTTAAACACCAGTTGCTCGTTGAAGTTTAGTGCCTTTAGCTAACCGTTGAAAGTCCGAAAATATTGTTTATTAATTTCTGCGAATTACATGATTGATTGTCCAGGATGCCGAGTGCATTGAAGAGTGAAACGTTTTTAATTAAAAGCCACACCCAAAAGTATAGTTACTTCGGTCCTCTGAATCGTATACATTAATATGCTAATAGTGTATTAAACTTTGATTTCCGTTTTGATAATATCCCCAACTGAGAAATTATGTACATGAATTTTGTTTTATTTATTTCATTCTTTTTTGCAATCTTACTGTACTGTATTGCCCACACAATACCGACAATATTTCCTTTATATAATATTATATTTTAATCGATAATTCTGTATTTTAAATTTTTGTTCAAATCTCGAAAATTTGCAGTTAAGTGTTGTTATACTTTGTTATATTTGCTGTTTTTATTTGTGGATCTTTTAGGGACAGCCCGACGCTGTTTACATACCCTTAACACGAGCGTATCATGACTACACGACTTTGGCTCAGCCGTTTAAAACGAAAAGGGGGAAAGCAGCAAGATACGAGCGATGATCGAGGGGGAAAGTACAGGAACAAGAGACTAAGTGATAAAATATTTGAGACGGTGTATAATACAGCAAAGAAACAAACACAGACAAACACAGGCACAACTGAATAACCAGAATGCCAGCGATAACAGCAGGAGCTGTGCTAACCAGAAACGATATTCACGGAACGTTGTACACTTTCTACCGAAGTAAACTATCTCTGATTGAAACTGCATATACAGATATACTTATACATAGCTACCCATCTATACGTGTATATTATATTAAATACCAACCACGACAGGCGTTCGATGAAGCGCGAAAGTTAAAAACTTTTACACAGAGGAACTTACTACTCTGCACGCCAGCAACAAAACACTCGATTACAACGATAACATAACACACGAATAACAGGCATGAGGCAACGGGTCTTCCACATATTATAGGTCTGAAGGTAAACACTACTTTTGCAAAAGGTATTCTGTGATACTGTGCATAGTTAGATGGATACTGGGAAATTTAAAACAAAGTTTTTTGCAGGTATAAACTAGACAGCAAATCAGGGGTAGGTATATCGAATTCGATACGGTAAACGTACACACATAGACCCTAACCTGTTATAAACTAAGACATTTTAGAAGCTACCTCTTATTATTTATATCAGAATTTACAAGTTTTGTTTTATGATTATCTATAATAAGAGTGTACTAATGTATTATATTATATAAAAATGTATTATAATAATAGGAGGTGCCAATATTATGTAAACTCTGCATAATTCGTTTATTGCTGAAAACTTGATGACAATACAATTACGGTTATTATTTTATAAGTTATTTTAGTATTAAAAATTTGATTTAGTTTTTTAAAATTATTAATAAAAAGGGAAGTAGCCGAATAAAAAAAGATTAAATGAGCATTATTGTTCAATGGCTTATTATAAAATCAGCTGTTTGGCCCGTGTCCAATTTCCGTTCTCAAATTCCAATAAAATGTATAAATTAAATGTTATGGATTATTATTTGTTATACAATAGATAATATCTAGCAGCGAGAAAATCTCAGTTTTTTTTTTTAATAACATTTGTCATGAAATACCACGCACGCGCCGAGATGAAATAGGTGCTATAATCGACATAGGCAAAGCAAAACTATACACCATAACCTAATAAAATGAACACTACTTAAATACTGTACACGTGTACCTGAGCAACCATTTAACGATCATCAATTAACTATTCAAGAGCAACAGCTCTGTCGCTAGACCTCGTTAGCTATATATTCGAGTACCTATAATAAATCTATAGCTCAGATGGAGGCGGTCCGAAGAAATTTATTATAATATTATTATTTAACGTTCTACAAAATACTAATCTACACCTTTCCCCGGCAGCGCAAAAAAAAACATTTCTTTTCCTGATATTGCAGCCAGACGTTTCCCATTTACCGAGTGTGGGTAAGCTGAGATTAACGTAATAGTAATAGGCGATTTTTACATAACATCCGACGATCTCACACGCACACGCTTTAATATAATATTATAAATATAAACGGAATAAGAAAAAAATATGACAACAACAAACGCCCCAATTCAAAAATGCAACAGCTGAAAATAATGTAAAAATAAAAAAATACAATAAATAATATTATACACGAGTTTAGGAGTTTGTAAATCGTTTTACTTTCAAATTAAGTTTGTTTTAAAGTGTTGCCGTTAGTCGAGAATAACGATGAAAAACGGCATAAAATTCTATAAGGAATAATACTGTAATCCAGAACCAAAAAACGATAAAGGCAAAAATTAGATTTTGAAGTTTTAAATAAGAATAAACGTGTTAAAAACATTGAAATTCGCATAAGAGAAATATCTTAAGCAATTTAAATAAGATCTCTTTCCTTAATCATAAGAAAAATAGGGTATCTCCTCCAAACTAAAAAGTATCTTTATTCGTTTTCCAAAAAAATGTAATTTACGATGAATTTTCATATTAAAGTTAACAACCTTTGTTGTTTCGAATTATTAAGTTTCGGCTCTCGAGTATAGAATTTAAACTTTATATTATTTTAACAATTCAAATGTGTCCAAACATACTTAGCTGAAGTAGAAAATCGAAAGTTAATATGCTTATTATAATTCTTAATCAGTAAACGTCCTTTCACGGCCGAGTATTTTATTTTTATTTAAAACACTTAAAACTGATTGTTTTCTTTTTATTGGCGTCATCAAATTTACAAATTATTTAACTTGGAAAATATCGATACTGCGAACAAAGTATGTTAATAATATAATAAATAAACGCATTTTTTTTTTAGCAGGGTTTATTATTAGTGCTATAGTTCAAGTACCTCAACTATGTATATGAAATAGAAGAGATGACGTAATCTACTTCCTAACGTATCTGACCTTGCCTAATTTGTTTACAACTACTCCACTTTACCCTAGAAATGGTAGATTATAGTTTATACAGTTTATATCGCTCAAATTATATTGTTAATTTTTGTTTGGTAGTGGAAAAATTATTATAATATGTGTATATTCGATGGTCGAATATTACTGATCCGAAATTATCCATAACCCAAAAATAGTGGTTAGTGTAAAAAAGTTTTTAATTAATTAAAAAAATAAAATCTGTACTTTATAAAAGCTACAGCGTTCGGCAAAGTTTTGAATTATAATATTTTCGTAATCTAAATTTATAGTAGGATATTAAAATATATCTTAATCTCTTTTACCAACACTCAACAGATCTTTTTACCATCCATTGGCAAATGAGGGAGAGCTGGCATATTTCCTATCCATAGCCCACTTTGCCTAAGCACACTAGCCCCCAGGCCGGCCCTGCTTTTACGTATTTAATGTTAATGTGCTCAATATTTTTTTACATTATTATTAACAAAGAGACCGGAATCAAGATACACATGCGGTTATGTCCGTCTTGACTCCGGTGACCATTTTTTTTTTTTAACATTATGTATACGACAAAAACTATAATAACTTACCGCTCTTGTTGTCCATTATATCATGGTAACTGTCGATAATGTTTAAGACTAGTTGTGCCATTTTGTAGCTTTGGGTTGAGATGCTTGGTTCCGTTGAAAATCACTGGTGTCGTCTCTTCGAATTCGGCGGTCGTTGTTGGACTGAAAACGCGAAAACGGCAATTAAAATTTTTATATCATTCACGACAAAACAAACGCAACAATAACAATATTATTCGAAGACGGACGGACAAAAAATACAAAACAAAAAACAATAATGATGTCACGTAATGAAACGAAAAAAAAACAGGTAGGCAGCAAGTATACCTACACGACCTGACGTGACTCTAAAAATGTACAAGAGAGATTTTTGAACCAGGAAAAAAAAATGATAACCGTATGTAATAATGCGGGGTGCGCAATATTTACAAACAGGAAGCGCTAAGCCAGCAAGTATGCATCCATAATGGCGAGTAGTATAGTAAAATATAGTGTTACTACTAGTAGTAATAGTAATAGTAGTAGTAGTAGTAGTAGTGGTACCTAGCAGAAGTTGTTGTGGAAGAGCACGGTAACGACCGGGCGGAACGTGTGTACAACAATAATATTACATATGTTTTGTGTATAATATATATAATATAATATATAAAAAAAAAAAAAATTATAAAAAAATATACACTTATACCGAGATGTGATTTATAAATAAACGCGAGAAACAGGTCGGATTAGTTTTAGTTGACCTCCTCGGTCGTGGCCCTAATACGGGCGGCGGTAGCGGTTGCCCTGATGTAATTGAGACTCTCGGTTGTATTGTGTCCGTATATAAAATAATTATTATATATTAAATACATGTAATTAATTATCGACCTGTAGATATCAACGCGGTGAGCTATCACGGACGACTACATTTGTGCGCCGTCCATAAAATGACGTTTTTTGTGCGATCAGGAAGGAGGGAGGAAGTAAAAGTGTTAGTATAGCTATGTGTTGTCTCATCGTAATGCCAAGCTGTTACGCAAAGAAACCGCGTATTAGGGTTTGTCTATGGGTGTGCACTCAATCGAGGTTACCTATAAACTATAAAATATAAAATTATGTTCTTCGAAAGGGTTGAACTTGAAAAACAGTACATGGTTTTTAGAAAAAATACCGTTGTCACAGGTGGTCGAATACAGCCAAAATACATAGACTTTTTTGTCACTAGTTTTATTGATATCATTAAAAAAAAACAACAACAACAATATAAAACTCAATTTTAAACTGCAAAGCATTGTTAGACTAATCTAAGTCAATGTAATAGTGATAAACTTTCTTCTGATTGCGCATGAGGGCTTAGGTAAAAAAAAATTCATGACAAATATTTAGCAGAAGCATTTGGTAAAATGGACAGCGATATATTTTTATAACTTTGTATTAGACACAAAACAATTGTTGAACTATTTATATTCGATTAGAGATTCATAATCGTTATTTTTTTTTTTATAAATATAGTAGTATTTAAAACAAATATTTTCCAGTTATTAATTAATCAAGCAACTGTTTATTTTTCCTGACTTTTAAAACTTTAAAGGTTATACTTGGGCAACGTTTAACATTTGTAACAAAATTTCAGTGCTTATGAATTATTGGTAAAGTATTCGTTATGAATCCTTTGTAAGTAAGTTAAACGCTATACGTAGAGATAGTCAAACTAAGATCCAGTCAATTTCGCTAAGATTGCAATGTATTGTTAAGTGTTAAAAACAAGATAAACTGACACAAAGCGGTTATATTTTTTAATAATTTATAAAAAAATGTATCATTCTTAAATTTTAGTTTTACTGACATGTTTAACTTTTGGTTTTTTAAAACAACATTTCATATTTTACAATAGAATAACTTAATAAAAAAAAATAATAATTATGACTGCACAGTAATCAATTTTGAACAATTATATAAAATAAACAAATAGTATGTCGTTCCTTGTCTACTACTAGATGTGCAAACACTTGGGATTTTTCTAATGTACATATAAGCCCAATAAAAACTGTAGTTTTGGTTGAATATCAAACATTTGCTGGGTTTAAACCAAGAAATCGTCCCATTTTTTTTTTATTTAATTGTAGGCTCGTGTTTTCTTTTGCCAACTGTCCGGTCTCACATCGAGTTATTTTTCATGAAAATAAGGGGCTTTACTCATAGTTTTTTAACGGATATCACCCTGTATGTATATATATATATATATATATATTATACTCCCGCTTAAATCCACCCTCGCGCCGACGATTTCCCTATTATTTTTAACTGTTTTGTTATAATGTACATTTTGTTGTTTTTATACGACTCCTCGGAACGGTTTTTAATGGGAAAAAAAACGTGGCACGCTATTTCGTATACATTGTACCTATATATTGCAGGGGATCTATCAGGGGTCGGTGGTCTACCCTGACGTCACCGTGCGTCAAAACGTCGCGGTCTCGTGTCCGTTCATGATTACTACAACTCTACAACCTAATAATGATATTTAATACCCCTTACCTACAAAACAGAACACGTTATTGAGTTAATCGAAAAAAAAAATAGTACAATCATTTTAATGTTATTAAATATTTTAACCACACGTGGTTAACGCAATCTTAAAGAGTATAGAAATTTGTGCGTACGATTTTCGAATTCGACCCACGTACTTTGAGCACAGCGCACACACAACATAATATGACCGACCTTATATTATTTTCAAACGTTGCCGGTTCAATCCGTGGAGGTGTGTTTGGTGCGCTATGACACACGCATAAATACATAACGATTATGATGACGAGACACGCAAAAAAAAATAATAATAATTTAAGATAAAGAAATGAGAGGAAAAATTGGAAATGCTGAGCTTTTTTTTTTTTTTACTTCTGCGATAATAAGTTATACAATTTATTGATTTATTACTGTAAGACCGTTTTTCGCAGTCTCTTAACACGGGAAGCCCATTAAAAAATGTTGCCAAAAATCGAGCTGATATTTCGAATCGCATAAAAAAAAAAAAATTAATTGTATTTCTTCTAACCTGGTAGTCGACGACAAGCTGCTGCTGCGGTCGTTGTTGTCTTTGAAGGTAAAAAAAAAATTATATATTTAAACGATCGACGGTCCCTCGGACGCCGAGGATCTCGAGGAGAGATCTAAGGATTCGCGCACTACTTAGGCGATCGACGTCGTTTTGCTGACCACTAGTCGTCGTACGCGTAATTTATACCGACGCACGATTTTTTTTTTTATGCGTTTGAAACGTTTAAATAGAATAATAACAATATTATTATTATTTTTTTGTATTTACTATTTTCGATAACGAGTAAAGCAAAACGACGATAAGCCGCCCCGGACGTTCATTCGCACGCAAGCCACGCGGTTGACTGGACCGATACCGCCGACGATTATTATAAGAGCCACGGAGGCGACGGCGGAGCGCCAACACTAAGGAGAGGGAACGACCGAGAGCGGCGGCAATGGTAACCGGACGGCAGTATAATAACTACCGGTATAATACGTTTTTTTTTAATTTTTTGTTTATTAAAAGGACACGGCCGGATCTTTAGGGGAAAAAAACCCCGAGGGAAGCGACCGCGAAAACAATTAAGGGGTTGGCGGACGCGGCAATCATCCATCGACGAGGCAATATTATAATATACACCGTCGTCTCTCCCGTTTTTACACGTAGTGCATTATTTTTTAAAAAGTGTACTTTGTTTTCATCGACGAGTACTTGCATACTACGGACATACTTAAAAGGATAAAAAAAAAACCCCGTAGTAGTCGACAAACAGTAAGCGTGCCATCTATAACCTACATAATGGTGCATTCTGTAAAACGCACAATAGGTCCCTGATACTTTATGTATTTAGCATATAACCAAAAACACTACTTTAATATGCAAAAAATAACATTTTTCAAAACCAAGTTATTAAGTTTTATAAATATTGTAATCTATTATCAAAAAAATAAAAAGTTATAAAAAGATAATAAGAAAGCCTGGGGGAAAGGCAATATATTAACAAACACCACTGAACTCTACACTTGGAGTTAGCTTTTAACAATCAGATAAATCTCAAGTTAAATGATTCAACGCATTATCTATTTTTAAACCTACCTCTAAATTTAAAAATTACTTATTGATGTATCCGAACGCTTAACATATATGTATTGATGTGTGTATACTGTATTATTACATGCATTCGCGTGTAATTTTTATATAGCTCCTCTCACAGGGAATAAAAAATAATTCACTGAGATTATTTTTGCTAAATAATTGTATATTCATACATTACATTTAGCTTCCTTTGGCGCTAAATAGGTACATGGAACAATACATAATTTGTTCGGGGCAAATAATTAAAGAGCCAGCTCAATAGTATATTGTCATAATTATAGTCGAATACAACTTATACAATGTAATACCATGTTAACGTTGAGTATTTTTTAGTATGATTTAATTTTACAAAAATAGTAATCATGAAATACGGCGGTAGATAGATATTAATTTAGTGTGGTATATAATACAATTCATAATTATTTGCACCCATTGAACTCATTCTTTGTGGGCGGGCTTGATACGAAAATACCAATTCAGTTTATCGTCCAATTTATTATTAGTTAAGAAATTAATACACGGGCCAGCAATATGCTTATATTTAGTTTGTTACAATCAAAATCATTAAACCTAAATAGTAACTCATTAGTTAATTGTTTTGTTGATATTTAGATAACCTGTGATATCTAGATCGATTGGATGTCACACATGCGTCATAGATTCCTTTTTTTTTTTTAATGTATAGAAACGACAAGATACTGACTTAGCAATACAAATTGGAAACTCAAATATTTGTACAAAACGTGTATGATGATGTTAAGTGCCTATTGCTATACATAACTAAATTTCTAAAAAAAAAAAAATACAGTCATCACACCTGTGCACTATGCTATGGATATAGTCTTTTTTTAATCCATAACTGAGAATTAAGATGATATCGTTGATTTTTGACATTTCAGTGGACACTTCTATTAACTATCCAACGATATTAGGGACGGACGTAGGGGAAATACATATAAATCGTTTGGTTATTTTCAAAATGTCAGTTTATAATGTGGTTTATTTTTCTACTGTCAGCATAATACACAGGGCTTGCGGCGGCTCACTCAAGAGCTCTTGGAAAGCTCTGGCAACCCGCCAGACCTGTCTACTGCCAGCGAACCAAATTTTTTTTCCTATCTTGTCACTTTTCCGCATACGCATAAGAATGATTTAATTACTATCATAATCATCATCGATCACGCGATTAAGCTGTTATTTTCACATCAAACATACTAAAACGATACATCGACCCTGACAGAAAGCATTCTTTATTAAATTTAACGCAAATCCGAGAAGGTACATGTTTTTTTTTGCACAGTTCACACTATAACACAATTACTACTCGACCGCTTTCTCTTCTATTATAGATCATATTGCAAAAAAATTGAAAATAATACAATGGAGTATATCCCCCCCCCCACCTCCAAAAAAAAACCCGCCTGAGGTGCGAAGTGTATATTCTAATTTATCTTGTTTCTCGTTCTTCTGTTCTGTCTGGACACGAACTTGGTCGATAATGACTAAATGATAGTTTTGACTAATAAACATCTAATCTAATCGATTGGCAGTCCCGTAAACCGAAAAGTAAACGTTTTCCAATACAGTCTAAAGAATTGCAATGAGACTTTTTTTTTTTTTATAATACTTTTAACTCCGAAGGTATTTGCTAACAAACACATTATCCAGAAATTTGTTTTTTCGTCATGTCACGGTCAAACGTTGAAAATCTGTGAATCGTTTAAACAGTAATTATGACTACAATATATCGTGTTTACTAAAAATACTTAAGGTCGTTTAGATAGTCACTAGTGTTAGATTTAAAATAAATAATAATAAAAAAATCTTCATTTTGAGCCAACAATCATTCTTAATTTAATATAATAATACACTGTTGAATAAAGTGTTAAAAAATTGTCCAACGACCTATGTGCGTTGTTTGTTATTAATTTGTAAAACTATTATGTCAACTAACAAGTCATTAAACTTGATATCGCATAGGAGTTACAAAATGAAACACGGCTGATACGGGTGTACAATTAACAAAGCACTAATAGTCTTGTACTATAAAAATAACCGAAATAGAAAAGTTCTGTAGCCAAAAATGAAACAGGATTTTTAGTTAAAAATACAACAAAACCGAATCTAAAACTCTTTGACCATTTCTCTTAGATAACAAACGCTGGATTACAAAATTATGTAATAATAATTACCTATATAAATGCAAAATAATCAATTTCAACATACAGGGGAAAAAAACCAGTATACAAAATGTTAAGTACAAGATAAAGTATACCTAAATGGACATATATTACAATGTTATAAGAATAATATTGTAATCCTCAACAGTTTCTTTTTGATCATAAGCGATTTTATCATATATTTTATTCCGTTTAATTATTTTAATTTTTGAATGCATTTATTCGGCCCGTAGTTTTCAATAGTAGACATGAACACCATCTCGTATAAGTTTTAATAAAATTAAAATAATAAGACAATAAATGTTTGAGTAGGCATTTTTATATTACACACCATATAATAAACTGAGTTACATTATATACTCGATACACAAGTCGGGCTTGTGCTGGACAGCCGTCAGTAAATCAGCTTTTCCCTTATTAAAGCGGTAAACCTCTTATCCTGGAAGTATAAGAAAAATTGAAAATCCTAGCTCGTGACTTGGTAATAAAAATGACATAATGTATCACGCATTGTGCTCAATTAGAAACGACAATTAGCATAGATAATAATATGCGACATTAACATTGGATTACACTGTAAACAAATTCAACGTTGTAATAAAACTGCACTCGAAAGGGTTTCAATAGTCTAATCCAAAATAAAAAACTGAATTACAAGACAATACTATTCTAATTTGTAATTAGGATACATGTTTTATAAAAACGACAATACACAATAACAGGGCAATTAATATTAAACGAACTCGGCTTGAGTACTTGCAAAAAAAATTAATGAATAATTCAAAAATTCATACAAACACAATAACATTTAGTAATATGGACAATGCATTATTGTAAGATCACCGTTACGATTGAATTTTAAATTATAAAGTAGTAAGTATATTAAACGCACGCAACGCGTTTGTACAATTGGTATGTACTGGTGATACCGAATATACTATAATATTAAAAACAAATTGGTGGTTATACATGTATACAGAATAAATTGAAGGCTATGGCCTGGCACATAGTTATAAATTATAAATTACCCATCGACGTTGTTTTTACTTTTATCTACAGTATTTAAAGTATACTAGAACATATGAAATATACTGAAAACGCATAACACTTCAAAATTGTTATTAGTAGTTTCAAATTCAAGTCATGTCCACACAAAATTATTTTTACTTGAATAAAACAGACATGGTTTTTCCGATATGCTGTTCGACTACCTGCCTTTCAACATTAATATCATTCCAGCTGTCATCTACCATTACAGTACCTTAAGGCATTCGTTCATCAAGTGCTCTCTGTTCTTACGGTGGCGTTAACTTGAATTCCCCTGCCTATCGTACTTCACAGCACTTGCTTACAATCGTATATTTTGTTTTATTACGACTATTCAGCTTCAGGCCGTATCATTCACATGGACATCTGAAATTCTATCTAGAAGCCTCTGTAAAACACTTCAACTGCAGACAGTGAGTTCATAATCATCTGCGTAACGAATATCATCCAATCAAAATCTATTTTATTACAACTCTCTCGCCTTTTAGAGCTTCTTTGAATACTCGACTCCAAGGTAAATTAATATTGTCGCAATATTAATAAACAAACTTCAAATGAAGAAATGTAGTACAGAAAATATATGCTAACTAAAAGTCGAGTTTTTTTTTTAAGGAAAAAGTAAAAAGCGAACCTTAAGTGTGATTTACCATTTAGACATGTCATGCCATTGCATATTCTCTATAGGTGTTCATATTTGTTGAAATAATAAATTATACTGTTACACAAATAGGAGTATTAAATAACATATATATAAATCACATTCATTTTATCGTTGAGTGGTAGAGGTTCATAGCGTCTGCTGCTAGGAACATGGAAGTTCAAAGACATACATATGAATGCTCTTCGTCAAAGCGTTGCAGACGAGACCAAGTTTTTTGCTGAATCGCGTTAAGTCAAACTAGACGGTTTTTTCAAACCTCGACATTATTTCCTCCTCACATAATTATAACAAGTAGTGTCCAAGTTTAATAACGGCATGACTTGTATTTGCTCTAAAAAGGATGCAAACAAATCAGATAAATTTATTATACATGTAATTATA